TTCGAAGAAAACAGAAATAAGGGGATGAAGAATCGGCGACTGTGTTGCGATGACATCATCGGCTACTGGACGGGCGGTAACCTGCCGGTAAAAAGAGAGATGGCCTCCTGATGGCCTCCGTCTCTAGGTTATAAGCTTGGCTATGCGGCAACCAGTCACGGTTGCTGCTGTTGATCTCAGAGATCTATATACCTCCAATGCGCTGCATGCGAGAGATGCACACATGACAGCATCTCCTCTACTCCGTATGGATTAGGCCAATTGATGCTATACTCTTGACCGTTGGGTGGATTTCCGAAACCCGCCATCGCCCTAAGCCCCCTATGCACTCTCTACCCTTACCTCTCTGATACAGCTTACTCCTATCCCTACACTAGTTAGTTAATTACTGGCTGCCCTGTCTGCTGCACCTCCTCCTCTCGCTCCGTTTCCTCGTGCGAAGCTCGGCTTTCAGCTCCATTATACTAACTACTTACATAACTCCTCCTGCACCGCTAATCCTCTCCACGCCACCGACATGCATAGCCTTTAGATCCCGCCTAATTGCCATGAACCCCGAAAGGAAAAGAAAACTTGAACGAGGGGGGGTGGTTGGGCAAAGTCAGGGAGGGGGATTGCCGCCTGGAAAACCTTCTGCACTTGAGTTTTCGACTATATCACGAAGTTACTAATATTGAATGCAAGTATAACTCAGGAGGCATGGATGGAAACTGGAGCAATAGTGCGGTTCTCTAGCTCGCAAGGACTTACCGTCTGGTCAAACCCGCTGGACGGACCGCATGGGACAAAGGGTACTTACTCCGTAGAGCCTGTTTGATGGACATTATCCGTACGGAGCATCCGACGGCTCTCCAGCCCGTCCATCCAACACTAACTAGTTAGTAACTGACGAGCTAACCACAAAGCCCGCGAGCCTCTGTATGAACCTGGCTTCAACTTCAGCAAGTCCACCTGCTCATCGGCCCCACATAGTCGACCAGCAGCTCATGTTTTCCATCTAGTAAATAATCTTTAACTATGCGACTATTCCTGTGGGCAGCAGCAGCAGCATGCTGATCGGTGGTTCGAGATCGAGTGCCTGAGTCGTGTTTCTCTTACAACCAACATCCCGGCCGCCTCCCTCTTTTGGTTGCCCTCCTTTTGAGATGTGCGACCCTCGCTTATCTCCTTGTTCTTTCCGGGCTCTAGAAGAAAGGCTAAAGGGCCCCTTGGAGGCGTCCTTTCTCGCTGACGAACGAAGCAGAAGAAGAAAAGAAAGGAGATACCTTAAGCAGCAGCCATTCTGAGCTCGTTACTCCGTGTCCCGTGGGCGGCGTTGCGACTTCGGCGTTTCTCCTGAGTTCTCCTGACCAGCACCAGCTCCAGCACTGGGACGACGAGATTTGGTAGGGACGAATACCATCGGCCACCAGCGTCTGCCATCTCTTCTCTGTCGTCATAAGCCAGGCTCTTGCTAGCTAAATACTCTTAGCACGTCACATGCAAAGTGGGCGGCGCATTATACTCAACTTTTGCTTAAGGCGTCTCGCACGGAGTCTGGAGATAGTTATCCGCATATGCACCAACTGCTTTAAAAAAAGAGGCGAAAAAGCAAAGAAACACCGCTAAAGCTGCTGAAAAAAGAGGAGCTGGATAAATGCAAAAATTACCGGACAGAGAAGCAAAAAAAACGAATGGGCATGTATATAGCTTAAGGCTGGCTGGCAGACGGTGGGGAAATCCTCTCCGGGGTCCCTCGCTGGCTCGCTGCTCTCTTCTGGTCTGTCCATCCGTACAGTACGCCTGTCTCTCTATGTACAAGGCCCCCTGCCTGCTGCCCTGACATTGTGCGGAATTCAGGAACCCTGAGCAAGGGGAGGAGAAAAGCAAGGAAAGGAGAAAACTTCTGCTCCTTCCCTATCTCTTGACTGGTCCCCTTGCTCTTCAGGGATACCACAGTATGTATGTACAGGTCACAGCAGCGCGGGAGGGTTCGTCAGAGCAGACTGCTTTTCGAGCAGAACTAGATGATACATCTACACTTTGGGGTATCAACGGTTGCTGAGTGAAGGAATAACGGATGACGGATACGTTTACCTTCTCCCACTAACTACGCCCGTAACAATTACATAAAAACCGGACAAAATATAAACAAAAGCTAGGCTTAACTGTCCCGTACGCTAGAAAGCGAAAAAAAAAAGAACAACGTACGCAGTACACAGTTTACGTACGTACTTGCATACATACACCTCCAGGGTTTGCGATCAACCGGACGGCCAGCATGCCTCAAGGTCCATCCATTCACCTTAACTACTACAAAAGCAGAGCGGCTAAAGATTGCGTCAACTGGGGCAAACTACCACGCGGACGATCAGTGGCCTGAGACCATACATAGCATTAGGGCTCAGCAGTCAAGGCATCACATCATCGCTTACTCCGTATATAATGAAGAATAAGGGCAAGAGGAAGAGAGAAATAAGCAAAACAGGACGTCGGGATCAGAATCAGGAACGGGAACAAGGAGAGGAAAACAGGAACAGGATCAGGAACAGGAACCAACCCATGTGAAGGTTCAATATCTTCCCCGGATCCTTGGGTGCCATAAGCATTAGGAAATCGAGTTATATGCTGTGCGCACGCTGAGGACGAGCTGTCGTTTGCTCTTTCTTTGCGCCACGGTTGCCGCTGTTAGGAAAGGCTCCGTCCGATGTCCCTTCGAAGCAGGCCGTCTCTGCCTTGACGCTGGGCTGATGCTATTGGACTGGTGATAGCTGGAGCTGAAGCTGAAGCTGAGTGACCAGCTGCTGCCCCAAAGAAGCAGCCAGATGACCTGATGTATGGAGGGGCGTTGGTCAGGTCAAAGGGCGCACTTCTTTTTTGTTTTTGGATAGTTGACTGAGCCCCTTATTTACCTACCTACTTAGCCTATCGGCCGTCAAAGCAAGCATCTTTGGTTAAAATCAACCCATAATTAGCCAGTCGTCAGCAGCAATCAACAAGAAGGATTGACGTGAAGCGGGACGGCTCTTTATCCAGTAGCTAATCAACTAGTTAACCGTTGCTTCTTCACCATGTCACGATGCCTACCTAGGCAGTTATCCTCCGTACGCCGTTGGCTATCAACTCTATCAACCCGCAGCTCCTAGCAACGCCCGGCAACTGCCTCCATCCGTCTAGTTAGTTAGATATCCCCTTTGCCCATCTGCCAGTCAACGAGCCATGGCCAGATCTCCGATCAAGGTTTGGCTCGTGGCTGCCACGAAACGAACTATTATATTTGCTTGCCTTACTTGCGAACTCACTTAACTAAACTTGCTGGCCTCGCTCTTTAGCCTAGTGCCTCGTTATTTATATCTTTCCCAAGGTTTCCCCTTCTGTCCATCTATGCTACGGCGGTATCGAGATTACAGGCTCCGTCATGGCCGTATGGCCGTATCAAACAGCGTACGGCTCCGCGTTACGGCGTCTTCGATTTTCAATAACCAGTTATTTGATACCTGACTGTTTAGCTCATTACGGCCGGGCTTCCCCCCAATCGCACGCCCTTTTTTTTCACATTTTCTATTTTATTTTTATTTTTATTTTTATATATTTTCCTTTTTTGATATTTTTCTTTTTCTTTTCTTTTCCTCTTGGGCATTTATCCTCCGTATAATCAAATCTGGTGATGGCCTCCAAGAATGGTTGTGGGCTCCCGTCTGCGATTTGCCAGGCCAGCTTGACGATGCTCGTTTGTGGCTGTCCCTGAGTAGAGATGAAAGAGCGTTCAAGGGGAGTCCTGGACTACTTAATACTCCGTCTGCGCAGCCCAGCCCGGCCGCTGTGGCCACGGAAGGGGATCTGCCTAGAGTTATGCTTGAGATATCTCTCTGCCTGCCTGTTTTCTTCTCTTTTTGCTCCCCTGCCAGCCAGCCAGCCCCCTGTTGTACAGGTCCATCCCCGGAACGTCGTCAGAACACTCCATCAGTATAAACCCGGCTATCCCGGAGAAAGGCCTATCAACCACCACGACCCCCCCTTTCTGCCTCCCTCCTGGCTCCTGGCTTCCTCTGCTTGGGCTTCCCTGCCCTTCTCCAGCCCATCCCTGTCCTCGATTGGCGGTGGCTAAACTCTTTCCTGTACTAGCTCAACCGTCTTTCTTATGCAACCCTAAACTAAAAAGCAGAGGTCGATTCCCTGTCACTCTCGGGTCCTGCATTTGACTTCCTCTTTGCCCCCTCCTGACTCCCTTGATGCACGGAGTAGAAGACATATGCCTGCATCCGCCCGACTAATAGCAACCTACATAATATACCCGCCTCCGGCCCCAACAACCGCAAAAGCAAGGCACTCGAGATAAAAATTTCACTCGAAAAGAAAAAAGACAGTCAGTCCGGGCAGTCAACGGACAGAGAGACAAACGGAGAGACAGGCAGAGAGGAATAAGAAAAAGAAAGGAATCTCGAACTCCTGCAGCCAGGCTGGGCTAGACTTCCTTTTTCTTCTTCTTTGCCTACCTTTTTTTTTACTCTCGCTCTTTCTCGTCCATAAAGTACCTGTCTATCGAACTCTCGCATTACATTACATTATTATTACTTACATACTTTGCGTCGTCGGCCTTAAGGTCTTCTTGGATTATCTACCCCATACCTCCCACATTGCCCTTCTTTTCTCGTTAATCGATATCAAGACGTCAGACAGCGGCTACTGGGACACACTCGTTGTTGTTTCTTTTCGGGACCCCCTACCTCCCTCTCTTCTTGTCTTCACTGGCAGTGCGCCATGCCATGCGCTGTTGACTGAACTTCCTTCAAGAGGTCCCACCTAACTGCATTGTGAAATCCCCTTGTCGACAGTGCGCGTCAAGCAAGCAGCTTTAAAGCACGTACTTATCACCTATCTATCTATCTATCACTCTATCTATACATACTCCTGCTCTCCCCCTCCCCCCTTTTACTTTCTCCTGAGAAACTACTGGCGCCATCTCGTGCTAGTTTGAATCATATTATCAGGAGACAAACAAAAGTACAAGTCTGGCCACCATGGATACAGAAACCCCGCCGATGCAAGATCATGACTTCGTCAGCTCGCAGTGGGTTGACATGGGAGGATATGCGGCTACTCAGCACCATCAGTTGACGGACTACACTGGGTTTCAATTTGGGTCATCGCCCATCATGCCAATGGAGCCTGCATATAGCATGTCTATGCCCCAGCCGTATACGACGCAGCACTTGATCCCGCTCACCATGTCTTCTCAATGGCCGAGCATGCTGTCTACCCAGCCTGGTTTTGCGCCAATGCCAGTTGCGCCGATGCCAATAACCCCCATTCCACCTCCCTTGCAGCACGTTCAGGCGCCGCAGATGGCGACACCACCAACGCCGCGAAGAACTTTGACTGACGCCGAGCGCCGACGCATGTGCCTGTATCATCAGGAGAATCCTCATGTCAAGCAGACCGAGATTGGAGGTAAGTTGTCTTATTATTTTTATGTTTATTCGATTATCATTGTTATTTGTTGGTAAACTAACTGGGATATAATAGCCATGTTTGGTGTTGAACGAAGGTATGCTGGTGATCTTTATGTTGGTGTTGGTAACAAGGTCCATTATCTAACTAAGTCTATCTACTTTTACAGCACCGTTTCCAAAGTACTCCGCCAAAAGGAAAAGTATCTTTTTCCTGATGATGGCCGTCGATCTCCTGTTAAGAAGACAAAGGGGAAGTTCCCTGATATTGAACGTGCCCTGTCAAACTGGGTCAAGAACCACCTGCGTCAGGGCGGAGATATCAACGATGAGTTGATCAGGGAGAAGGCCACGTTTTTTGCAAGAACCGTCGGCAGCCCAGAAGGCCACGAGAGAATTCTGACCACAAACTGGCTGGAGAAGTTCAAACAGAAGAACTACATCATTGAATCCCCCGACAGGAAATCCTCTATTGACATCACTAGCCCGAGGAAGAGATCCACCATCCAGACACCCACCCAGCTGTCTCCCATTTCTCCCAGCTCAGCCACAACACTTTCTCCCACATCTCCTACCCAGCCCAGAGGAGCACGGGAAGGGGAACTTGTCAATGGAGGCAGTGACGATGTTTTTGGCGTATCTCTTCCACAGGAGGGAACCCCCATTACAACACCTACTCTCGCCAGGGCAACAAGCGAGTCGACGATAATCTTCACTTCTCAGAACCCCTTTGCACCGTCTGAACACACGGGCCTGGGCGTAGATTCAAAGCGAAGACGAAGCCAGACGTTGCCAGTGATGACACCTGGATCTTCCATGGTCAAGGATGAGCCCCCTGAGAGCCTCTCGCCGACAAACATCTTCACCACTCAGCCCGGAGTTATTGAAGAGGAAGACCCTTCGGAATCCATCGACGCACCAGCAATGAAGAGAAACCGCAGCAATCCAGAAATCATCTCCAACGTAACTCCCATGCAGCCACCACCTCTTCCGAAATCCAAGAGCATATCCTCCCCAGCAACTTCTCCTACCATCTCCCCGACACATGATGAAGCTCGCCAGGCACTGGAACTCGTCCTTAACTATTTCAAAAACCAGTCCATGGAGCTGGCGGTAGCTGATTACCAGATCATAGGGAAACTCATGGAGAAGCTGAAGCTAGCACATGGCCAGCCATACATACAGCCCATGAAATCCACTACATCTCGATCCAAAATCCATACCGATAGACCTCGGGTTAGCAAGAAAAGAAGCATCCACACTCTATAACCAGATCATTTTCCCAATCATAGCAGCATCTACGTCATTTTCTTTTATATTTTTCGTTTGTTATTCTTCACGGCATCCCCATCCATCTAATACGATCCAATGTGTTTTTTATTCCCGATTCATTGCTTTCAACGTTCACGACATTATTCCCCATTACGCAAAACGCACCATCATTTTCATTTTTTTCTTCCTAGTCTTACCCTTTACTTCATTTGGGCAATTATCCATGGTATATTTTGGACGGTTTCAAAACAGGCCATGTCGAGTTAATCTACATTGCTATACTTAATGTTACCCATTCACCTCTACCCACCATTTGCTTTTACCCCCTTTCCTTCTCTTTTATCTTTGCCCTTTCATTTTCCGTCTATTTATCATGCTATGACCCTTATACCTTTATCATTCATATCATCATACGCTGCATTTTTCTCTTTCCCCTTTTTTTCGATATTGACGGAGAACTATCTATCCGCCCTATTTCATCCCACCTTACCATATTCATTCCTCATCATCCTGTTTTTCCTTTTTGTCTTGATGTTATGTTATTCATTCTAGGGGCTCGGAGAGTATTTACAACGTCTACCGCTCACGCGGGCTGGGAAACGGGGCTAGGATAGGGAACTGGGACTTGGTTCATTTTCTTCTATTATTCGTCCTTTTATTTATTTACTCACTTTATTTCTTTTCTACCTACCTACATACCCCTAACTAACTAGTTACCTCCATAACTATCTATTCATTTATTTCCTTTTTTCCCCTTTCTACATTTGACACTTTGCAGTTTTGAATCGTGCTAGGCAGCGGGGGACAACGACATTGAAATTTACATGGCAATTTGGAATCCGTAGCGGGAAGACGCAGAAAGAGAGGGACCCCTTTTAACTAGCTAGTTAGCTGCCTACATAAAAAATAACAATTTCTATGCTTATCATCTATTTCGTCCGTTATTATGCGAATAGCGTAACACCCTGCGTACAGATTTGCGCGAAATCGCAGAAATCGCATATCCTTATTCGTCGCTTTTCCGTGTACAGTCTCACAACAGCTCTCCTGGCAGGCTGGACGCCTGGCTGATTCTTCTGACCTCGAGCCCGAGCTTTGGCCTAGCCAGGGTAGGTGAGGAGGCGCTCGGTCTTCCTTCCTGGCGGATACAGCGTTTTCTGTCTGTCATCATGGCCTTTGCCTCTGTAACCGTAGCAAGTCAGAGCCTGCCTACGTGCAACGAGGCCACCAAGATCACCCTAACGAACGCATGGCAAAAAAAGCGAAGCGAAAAGGTAAAATAAAAAAAAATAAATAAAAAGTACGAGAAGTCTTGTCTTTCCATCGGCTGTCCCAGTCTACTATATTTATTTTCTCTATTTACCGTTGCATCGGGTCAATGGAAGATATGGAGGGTGTGTAGGATGTCAGTGTGTATGTAGGTAGGGGTAGGGATACGGTGGAGAGGAAGAAGGTCGATACCACGGCCACTTCCCACGGCATGCAGATATGATGTAACAATGTATACAACCGTCCAATATAGTTTGGGCCGACAGGGCGCTTATGCGGAGAAAATTGAATGGGGATGAGCGGTCAGGTAGGCTGCATGAACGATATCGGAAGTTATACTTGGTTTCCGCGGGAGACATGAAAATAATGAACGCTGTTGAGCAACATGGATCGTTGCCCAGACGGGAGAGAGGGAGTGAGAGAAATAGAGAAAGCCAAAGAAGTTAAGAGAGCTAGGAAAGGAGAGGTGGATGGCGGCATAAGAAAAGTGACATCAAGGTACTCTGTATACTCTGCCGTGGCAGGTAAGATATGGACTGGTCGCAAGAGAAAGGCCCGTTCTCAAGTCGAGTAGCTCTCGGTGCATGAGTGTAACTTCAAACCCCTGGTACTGGTCATGCGTGTGTTAGGGATCTGTTGCCACTTTGAGCCGTCCAAAACAAGTATTTCATTAAGTCAATGCCGTCCCGATGGGATCGGGCGAGAGAGACAGAGAGCGCAAAAGGGAACGGGGGGGAAAGTCAATAATATTAAACCTATACAGGGGGAAACGAAGCATTAAATAGATACGTCACCAAGTCTAAAAAGACAAACCAGAAATAAGGAAAGTGAGGGAGAAACGGAGGAAAGGTGAGTGAGAAAAATCATCCATTGGTTGTTGTAATTGATGCAGTCGGCCATGAAACTCCTCGTTCGTTCATCAGCTCGGTCACGCTGTGCTCTCCCATCTCAGGAATTAGCTTAACGAGAACGAGCTCGATAATCGAGTAGATGACATGCTTGTTACAATAAGAGTCTGAGAACAGATCAAGGAAGTCGTGTTCAATGGCGGACAGTAAGGCAGCATCTTCGTCGTCCTTGTAACCCTTCGGTACCTTACCTGAGACCGTCTTTGGCGGATCGGGGCCGTCATCGGTGGCCTTTCCGCCTCCATTATTGCGATCATGACTGCCCTGAGCATGGAGGTTTTGTCGATGGGTGCCTGGCCCACAATGTCTGCTATCTTGATGGCTCGGATTTGAATCATCTGCCAGTCCCGGTTCAGATCCAGCGCATGATAGAGGTGAGTCAATTCTACTATTAACTGAAGTCTCGGGAATACTGGATTGAACGGACGGATACGGGCTGTCCTTGGCCGTGATACTGGCTGCTTCCGGAGGAACATTCCCATTTGTTTGATTGATTGCGAAAAGAGTCAAGGCGATACGGCGAGGGATCAATGCGAGTATACTCGCAGCACATGCCCGCTTAATCGATTTTAACTCTGCTGCAGATGGTTGTTCAGATCCAGACGAGGGAGCGTCTACCACGCTGGCTCGAGGCGAGGCTGGGTTAAGCGACGCCTGCATCTCCTGTAAGGCATTGCTACTGCTAGCCTGGATGCGATTTTGGCCATCGATATTTGAACCACTGCTGGTGAAGGTGCCGATCTCGGCGTCTGAACCAGGGTTAGGAGGCTGCTGCTGCTGTGTGGCCGCAGAAATCCCGGAAACCCGCGTTAGGCTGGCCCTACCAGTAATTGGAAAGACCGTGGTTCGGATTGCAAGCAGCAAAGACGGTAAAACTGTGGTAGTCACCAGATGCTCGCGAATACAATCATGAAGGAACCTATTATCAAATGGTTAGCAATGGCGTCACTCTTCGGAAAATCTAAAGCAGTAAAAAAGGACCCTGAAGGAAGAATAGAGGAGGGGAAAATTAATGTAGAAACTAGTCTCCAAAAAAAAAAAAATAGTAGGAGCTGGTTAAACGAGACTGCAAGGGTAGTTAACAAAGGACACATTCGTGGACAGAAATGGAAATACAAAAAGAAAAGGAACACTGGTTGGTTGGTGGATGGAGGAATCGCCATGCCAATCGGCGCCCAGTGATGCTGAATCCTGAAGAATGCAAAAGGTTGGAGGCTTGCGGAAGGGAGGAAGGCCCGTCCCACAGATCAGCGCGGAGGAGGATGGAGTGATTCCTTAATGCACATTGGATATCATATAGAAAGGCGCATGCACTCCGTACTCGAGTAAGAATGCCCGGCCGCGCAAGGGGAACCCGTAGTCGTATTGTAACGGAACCCGGTAAGAAAACAGAGGCTAGTAATACGAATACCACGGTACCGATACACAGATACACCGTATGCATCGTGACGATACGGGGATCTCGTCTTCCCGTTTTTCTTTTCTTTTCTTTTTTTGGCTTTTGCATCTGTTTTTTGCTCTTCTATGCTCCTCTTTAGTCGCTAGAAGCTTGGAGATGCTGATTGGCGCAATGCCTACCCTCCATAAAATCAAGTGACTGAAGTGCTATGCATGAAAACTGGAAACTCAAAGTGAGATCCCTGCCATGCGATCTGATTGCTTGAGGCGTTCGTTCAAGATCGATATTTTGATGGAGCACGGATAAATGAAGACGGCCCTTCATCCATCCTATCAAGGGCGTAGGTGGGGAGAGAGCATGCTCTTCGATGAGACAAAAACAAGAAGTTTATATGGGACCATCACCAACGGTCATGGCGAAGAGGAAACGGGCAAAGGCATGGGCAAAGCAAAGCAAGAAGTGGGCTCGACCGTCAAAACAAACTCGCAAACTCACCTGTCAATCACTCCGTCTGCCGTTCCAACTTTTCCTGGGCCTGTCATCAGAAGGTGGTGAGCAAGGGCCAGAATCCCACCAAGCCATGGCATGCGGCTTGATATGTCGAGAAGCTGCGAAATCACGCTAAAGATTCGATACTCCAAAACGGGTAATCGCACGATGTTATCCTTTGACCGGGAAGGCGTTGCCTCTTTAGAGTTGATGCTATTACTAGCATGTGCCGGGGATGGAGTTGTTGCAGCAGCAGTTGTTGATGAAGACGAAGGTGAGACACGAAACAACCCCAAAGCCACGAACCGAAATGCAACATAGGCAATATAGCAATATTGCATCAAGTTGAAAAGGGTTGATAGGAGGGCCGATTGGTTTCCTTGACTCGAATAACTGTCAAACTTAGATGATCGTTCCTGATCAGGTTCGGGATCGCCTCTTTCTAGATTGCCACTCTGATCGTGTTCCACACCATCGCTCTGTGGTGTTTGGTTCAAGCTTGCGAGAATCTTCGAGATGGCATCCCAGATGAACCACCCCTCAGAAACTTTCCCGCTGACAACCCCTCCCAGGAGTAGATCAGCCAATATATCTCCAACCAATGTTCGTAAGCAAACATTCTGCAAATCTTCTGTGGGGAGAAGCACAGCCATAGCTCCATGGGCTAGAAGCTGACGGTATATTTTCTCGGCCTCTTGCTGTTTCGCAACATCCTCGTCACCAGGACCGGGGGCTGGTGATAGTGCTGGATGTGGATGCAACGTATGATAAACCTCACGCAGTCGCCCGCCAGAATTTTCTGCTCTTAGCGAGCTCGCACGGGCGGTTCGGTACGCTGCCGTCATTCGTCATTAAGAAAGGCTCACTCATGACAACCCCTGTAGGCCTCCTGAATCAATATATACATAGATGTATACATAAATTTCCGGAGTGAAGCAAAAAAACAACATGTATGGTGGTGGCTTACCAATGATATGAGCTTCAAGTAGTGAAGGAATCTCATCAAACAGTAGCGTCTCCACGTTAACCTGCCGTAATCTCTGCTCTAATGCCCTAGTGCAATGTGCAATAAGCTGGATGACTTCCTCCGTGAAGAGGGTATCAGGGGTGATCTTCGAGTACCAAGAGTGGATAAACTCTCTCATAACAACAGCCATCAGAGCATAGAGCTGGAGATCAACCTCATTCATGCTAGTTAGTGGAGGAAGCAGCTCCTCTAGCGGACGAGGGCTGCCACGATCCAGGCCGCCATGGCCACTGGCGTTCGGGCATAGAACTCGGCGAATCAAGACTGCAGTGGCTTTATCACTGGTTGCATTCAACTGAAGCCGGTCTGGGGCATGTTTACTGCGCTGATGGACGCGAGATGAAGGCCGGGATGTGGGAGGGGATCCATGGGGAGGGATTGAGATTGTTGGTATTTTTGCTTTCGGTTTCGAAGCAGGCGGCCGCAGACGTCCTGAGAGGCCAGGCATCTCCAATCACGGAATGCCAAGGCATATGTTAGTCCAGAGCGGGATCATTCATGGACACCAGCAGAAGCTGTCGAGCTGTTTGCTGCCATCCATGAAGCGGCTGTCCGTTTGTCAGAGTCTGGCGAGAGAAGGTGGAAAGCGATGGCAGTTGACGTCTGACGTCTTTCTGCATCCGAAAGTTGAAGAAAGGGCGCCAAGCCGGGAAGGGCCAAGCCTTCTGCTGACTAATTATACACTTATCGATAACGGGCTTAGGTAATCAGTAAGCGGCTCCGATATGTCTGTCTCGTCGGAGTTGCGCCGGAGTTTCCGCGACATCTTCATCTTCCTTTCTCGTTGGGATCCAAAAGGGCATTTGGGCAGTTGCAATTATGGGCTCGATTTCGGTGTCAGGCGACGGCCGTATCCCTCTCTGGCTTGACTGCGATCCAGGTAAGCTCTCTCTTCTCTCTTTTTCCGTAGGTGAACGCTCTTGCTAACTGATAACTACGTCATAGGGCATGATGTGAGTACCCCCGCAAGCCGACGACCAAGGAGAGCAATATCTAATGAATATAGGATGCCTTTGCGATCCTACTTGCTACCCATCATCCGTCACTGAAGCTGCTTGGAATAAGTACGGTGCATGGCAACGGGTCTTTGGAAAATACAACGGCCAATGCGGGTAGCATTCTTGAGGCCATTGGGCGTTCCGATATCCCTGTATACCCCGGCGCAAAGAAGCCATTCTGTCGCAAAGCCGTTCACGCAGAGAATATACATGGTACTATATGATTCCTGAGGACCATATTAATCTCATATTACTTACACACTGCGCTGCGTCTTTCTAGGAACATCCGGCATCGACGGGACGGACCTTCTCCCTGCCCCAACCAAACCAGCGGTGACCAATGTCTCTGCATATATCGCTATGAGAGATGCTCTTCTGGCACAGCCTAAAGACACAGCGTGGGTTGTAGCTACTGGGACCCTTACCAATGTAGCCATCCTGTTTGCAACCTTCCCTGAGGTGGCAGAGCATGTCCGTGGCGTTAGTATCATGGGTGGTGCCGTTGGCGGAGGCTTTTCCAGCGTTCCCATCAGCCAGAAACAGGGAGATGAGACGAGAGTTGGAAACATAACTCCGTGGGCGGAGTTCAATATCTATGTCAGTTGATTGAACCCATCATCGTCATTGCAGGTAATCTGACTTATTTCTAGTGCGACCCGGAATCCGCGCAGTCAATTTTCTCATCTCCAGTTCTAGCACCAAAGACCACGCTTGTAACAGTCGACTTGACACACCAAGTACTGGCTACGGAAGCTGTGCAATCACGTATCTTGGGAACCAATGGCCCAGCTGGAGGGAAACAAGATCCTACAGTCCTTCGCCAGATCCTTCATGCATTGCTTACGTTCTTCGCCGGGACTTATGATACTGTTTTTGGAATCAGCGCTGGTCCGCCGCTGCATGACCCCCTCGCGGTCGCCATTTTGCTATCTAATCTCAACGATCAGGCAAAGACAGCAGCTAGCCTTAAGGAACAACTGACATTTGATGACGCAAACGGCACGAGGTTTAACGTGTTTATCGACACAGATGGACTTCATCACTGTGTCGAGGGAGCCAACTTGCAGAGCGAAATAGGCCGTACAATAGTACAACCCTGCCCTGCCGGGACAAGGGGAGTCACCATTCCGCAGAGCCTCGATGTCGATAAATTTTGGGAAACGATTTATGACTGTTTGGACCGAGCCGATAAATGGAACTTGGAGCGGACTCGAATGGCCTAAACGACTGGATGACTCTCTTTTATGATATCCCTTATCCCCTTTTTCTATTCCTACTAGATTTTCACCAATATCCTATCATATTAGATATAGATTTTGTTTACATCTGAAAGATTTGTTCTTTGGTTGGATAAGGGTTGTCGGTGTTGGATAGAGTCTAGAATAGGATACAAGTTAATTGAATTGATATTTTGAGTATGCTGTACCATGGTGGCTTTTATGACGATATGGGATTGCTATACTAGCTACCATTCCTGAATACTACTACCCAGCCCAAAGAAATGGTAGTGATCTAGGGCTTCGTACATCTAGAAACCTGCTTTACTTCCTCTTCGTCGACGACCTTTATCTAGAGCCCTGGTCCGGTTATAGGCTTCATGTATCCACCTTCAACATCGACACGCAGGCGTCCCTTCTATAGCTGTTAGTGCGCCGAAGCTAGGAAATACCGCTGCAATGACTGATGTTAGGTTGTAGGATATTGAAACTGGCATCTTTGAGGTGGTTGACGTCCTAGTGGCTATACAGACATTCATTCAGGGCCGTGGGGAGTAGTTGTTCGACTAAAGAGCTCCTTCATGTCAGGTACGTGTTAAAAAAAGTAGTATCTCGTCGATGAATAGGAGCCGATATTGCTTAACCATCTGAGCTAGCTGTTTGACCATGGATTTATCAAGTCCGTCGTCGAAGTCCAAAGCAGAATCGACGCCATGGTTCTTAACTGTCTTCGGTCTTTTGAAGGTTGAGCCACCGTGATAGTAGCCTTGCCTCCATGTCGTCTATCCTATATGTACGATGTCACTGGTATTGGAAGGTAGTTGTACCGTCATCTATGCACAGCTATAGACACTACTTCGTAGCTCTGGATCTGTTTACGAAAGGCTCTCTACATCCATCCCTTCGACAGACTCCGAGTGGCCGTTGAGAGTGCTTCCACCGCATACGTCACTGCCCTGTTCGTCTATTATCTTGAACAATGGCTATCTGCGAAGTGCTCGATACTTCTTCGCCATGCTAGCTTTAACCTAGACTTGGGATATTAGACAGAGAATATATAGCTTCCACTTCTCCCTGTATTATACTCAGGGGTGGATTCTGTTTGCCAGGTAAGAAACAGAGCATGAGCTCTGCTTTATTTACAGCTTAGCTGCATGGATGAACAGCCAGAACGGGAAAGGGTATTATATCTAGAATTATGGAAACTCCAACGCTGAAGGAGTCTTCTATATGACGATATCCTTCAAGGGATATCAACCATATGAACACTTCATCAGGGGTACAGTATCAATCAGTGCTTTAAGTCTCTTGTAGTGAGCCTTGGAATCCGAGAATACCAAAAGCGCCGTACACCCGTAGCTTTACATCTCTTGCTCGTTATAACACCCCAGGTCATATAACAGGCTGGCGTAACCGACACTGCTGTGAATCATATTCGAGATAGTGGCCTTGTATCACCGGGCTCCAGGGACGAGCATGTCATGTACGCTTCCAACCCCCCGAGGACAGGCGTATATCACAAAGGAATAGGCTCCCTTGTTCGGCTGGAAGATGCCTTCAAAAGCAACACTCAAGCAGCTTCCACCAGCCAAGCGGAAGAGACGGACTGTCGACATGTTGCAAGGCTCGCGCCAGGCATGGGCAGCCATGGGAGCAGATAATCCACGCTGGAACAACCAGGATATTGACAGCATCAGGCTGAGACGAGCAAACGACGTCCGGCTCGAGATATCAACATCCACATCCACGTCCTGCGCATGTCCTCCCCACGCCGCAACGGCGCTCTCCCGCAGGAGGGTATCCGACGTCCAGACGGCGAGCGTCCTCTCCTTCCAGCCTGGCCTGAGACGCAGGCAAAAGGTGGTTTTTCCGGCCCAGCAAGTCCTGGTTCTGTCCAACCTCAGGGCTCGACTGCCTCCTCTTTCCCAACCTCTGCGTCCTTTCTCGATCACTACCCAGCATCGTCCACTCTCTCTGTCTCTGTCTCTCTCGTCGCATCAACTGACTTGCCCGGTGGTCCTCGAGGACGTCGAAAAGAAAAGCAAAACAAGGACGTCATTTGACCGGCCAGCGCGGAATTCCTGGCGAAACTGGTCGCTCATTTTTTTTCCCTCGCCTCCTGGTTTGTTAGTGAAATACTTAAAGTGACAGCACACGACAGGCAGCGACAGCGACAGCGACAGCAACACCCGGCCAACGGCTTCATGTCTTCGTCCGCCGCGTTGGATGGAGATCTCGCCAGGCAGCCAGCGCACCATGCCGCCGATACGCAGCGATAATAACAGTAACAGCGATAATACTGGCTATGATAATTCCCCAGTGAGACAAAACTCTCGGTCCATCCTTTAATCAACGTCTTTCCCCGATCTTGGCGTATCTTTTCTGAATCCGCCGTCCTATTTTTTTCTTCTTCTTCTTCCTTCGTTTCTACGTTATTTTGTTTCATTCACTGACGAGACGGCTGTTTCTTATGTGAATGATAGCATCCGCCTGTTGAACAGCCGGAGACGCCGTCGACATCTGTCACTCCGCCGTCGCTAAGCTACTACCTGCAGCAGCTCGAGTCCTTTGCCAGCCCGGTACCAGACCTGGCCGCCACCCTCATGAGCAACCCGGAAGATGAGATACACAACGAGAACGTCCACTTTCTTCGGAGCAGAAGACGGTCGTCGACAGAGCTCTCGCCCTCGCGTGCTCGTACTCGCAGACGCCAACTCGGTGGAGGCGTCGGAGGAGGAGGAGGCGTAGGGGTGGGTGTTGGTGGAGGAATGGCCGATTCGCCTCAGGATTCTGTCGACCTGGGAGGTGACCAGTACATGCCCAGGTCCCATCAACAGTATATATCCGGGCACGGACAGAGGATACCAATCATTCGCCGACGGGGTGCCATGAATATCAGCCACGGTCCGGCATACGAGGGCCCTCCCCAGCAGTCGAACAGGATATACAGCTGGGCGCCGACGCAGGACGAAGAAGGCGGCCTCTATATCCGCACCGACCCATTAAACCCTCGAGATGAGATATGGTTCGGCCGGTCAGGGTCTTCCTCCAGGGACGAAGACGGCGCAGCCTGGAGTTATCTGCCGAGGGAGCTCAGAGGGACAGCGCAGGCGGCATCGGAGCCATCGCCCGAAGAGCAGCAGGATGGCGGACGTCCGGTGGGAGCGCCAAACATGCCTCTGGCACGAGACAACCCGGCCTTAGTCACCGCAGCCATCTTGCAGTCCGTCAGAAGAAACCACAGATACTCATCGAGAACGCGCACACCACAGAACCAGATGCAGGACGGCGAAAGAGCCAACCGACCAGATGATGGCCGAGACAGGACTGTCATCGGTAACGGCAACAGCAACAGCAGCAACAGCGATTTTGCCACCCCTTTCTCCTTTTCACCCCGTGCAAGACGCTCAAGTCCTCGGTTACCGCCTCCTGCTCGCATCGACTCATCGAGAAATTCGGATATTCGCCGCATGTACCTTAAAGACCCATCCATTGATCGCTTAAGGGAAGCTATCCAGTATCTAGACCGAGTCCGTTTCTCAAACTCTTACGAAGAAAGCCTGTCCACCGCTGCAGCGGGAGGCTTCGTTCAGTTTGAGTATTTCCTTCGTAATGAAGATGACTTCATCCTCGATACTGGCTCAATCGCAGGTCCAGGTTATTGCTCCTGGTTGAGCCCTGGTACCGTTTTCTCCGGCCAACAGCAAGCCACTGCATCGACTGCAATGCTACCTCACAGGCTCTTGGGAACCACTCGTCCCTCAACGGACTCTAACGCAGGCTCCGGTATTGACAACCGGATAAGTGTCTATACCAGCAGTGGCCGAAGTTACTGGGCAAGCAATGTCATGGGCAACAGCTACAACAACAACAACAATGTTAGCCACAACAACAGTAATAGTAACAATCAAGATCCAGATACTGCAAAGACGGAGAGCTGGCCTGTCAAAGTGACCATCCATAACGTTGATTACGAAACCATGACACTATCCGGTACCATGGAGGCATACAACATCCCCGACAAGTCGGCCAACAACCAAGGAGCGCACATAATTACTTATCTGGAAGGTGAAATTATTGATTTCAATACGCATACTCTGGAAACTAAAAATTTCAATGCCGGCCCGGAAGTTGATAGCTGCTACTGGAGGGAGTTGGAACCGTTCAAAAATCTGACATATGATGAGATCGTCAAGAATCTCGTCAGCAAGAAATGGGTCTCAGAAAAGTTGTCCAAAGGATGGATACTGATGAGATGGAAAGGTAAGCGCTGTTTCTAGCTATATGTTTACATACTACTTTGTCCGTTCATTCGAAAAATACTAACCATGGTTTCTTCAGAACGATGCTTTGTTTCTCCGTCTCACTCTCGCCAGGGACTGACTATATCTGGTTTCTATTACATCTCTGTCCACCGTGAAACCGGCCGCATCGAAGGGATGTATTACGATCCCGGAAGTTCTCCCTACCAGCAACTCTCTCTTGATCCGATATTGAAAGATAAGATGATTTTCCCTGCCTATAAATTTAGATAAGCGGGCCGCAGGATCTCGGTGCTGTTTCTATCATATGCTCTACTCGAGTTGTCTATTTACCAGAGGCATCTTGTACATATTCTTTCCCTTTTCTTTTCTCTGCTTTTCGTTCGGCGTTAGAGCGCTACCTTTCTGTTTCTTTTGTCACTTGTATAGCTGTTACAGTTCTACCCGTAGTGAAATATCGATATACCCACTTGTCCCCAAGTTATTCTATTTTATGCGTACGCAACAATGCATTCAAAGTGTTGTTTGTTCATCCTTTTTTATTATTTTTTTTTCAACATTAACATGTCTTTTATGATACATGAATTCTTCCCAAGGGAGCATATATCAGCAGAGATCCCCGAGTAAAAGGAGTAAACCAAGTTAACCTTGGCCTCACTCTAATTAATCCCAGTACATCCATAGAGATACCGACACGTCCTGCACTTCCCGAATCCACAGACCAGTTCACGTCAACATTGAAGCACGGCCTAACCGAAGTATTGCGCGGGAGGCAAGACCGTAGTTGAACAAAAATTGTTTAAAAGACGGTGATTAACGCTGAAGAGCATTTACTGCTCGGTCTGGAAGTAGTTGAGGAGGATGGAACGCTCCTGGGATTCTTCACCCCAGTCCTTAAGGACAACGCAAGAGCAGTTGACGACCTTGCGTGGGTTACCCTCACGGTCGAGAACGCCTAATCAGAAATAATTAGCCATCCATATTCCAAAATACGCCTCCTGACCATAATAATAGCTAGGTAGATACTTTAGGGGAGCTTACAAAGTCCAACCCATTCACCCAACATCTTGCCATCGGGGACCTTGATGAGAGGAATCTTGTGCTCGGAGCAAAGAGCAATGACGAGCTTCTTGTAAGCGTCCTCCTCGCATCCCTCGTTCAGGACACACATATGGGCCTGGCGACGGTCGAGAGCCTTAGCAGCCTCGCGGAGACCACGGGCAAGACCGTCGTGGATAAGAGCGATCTTCAAGACACCCTTCAATGCGTCCAGGACAGACATGGAGCTGCCTGCGGTGGCATTGGCGGAAACTTCAACTTCATCGGCGGCAACAACGCCGGCGTTCGATGCGGTCTCTTCTCCGTCCGACTGGAATTTGAGCGAGCTGTTAGCTGGGATTGTTCTTGGTTTCCCCCTCGGTTTGATGGACGATAGTGTATCGCGATAAGCAGTCACATTGAAGGTGGCCGATGAGAAGATAATCTGGCTCGAATTGAACGTACCATTTTGACTGATTTCAAGGATATTTCCTAAATGTCGGATTATCCTCAAAGAGTTATGGATATGTGGATGTTGGGAAGAAAATCGAGGTTGGAAGATATTTCGTGAAGTCGTTGAAATGCAAATAATTTTTTTGTGGGTGTGCCCTAAAGTGTGCTTATGTAAGATAACTAACCACCACTTGCCCAGACTGAGCTAAAACATTTGATAAGAGAGCAAGAGTAAACTCGTTCGTTATATTCCAGCTACATAGCGCTGCAAAGGCTGAAAAAATAAGTAATAGACATGAAGAGGGAGCACTTGAAGCGTGCTCAGTATCATATAGGGGAGGTCGCGAAAAAAAAAAAAACTATAGAAAATGAACAAAAAAAATCCAACAACCAACAACCCGGCCAACCAAATTCCAGGCATCCAGAACACTCGGACATGAGACAAAAGAACAACAAACATAGAATGCAGACAAGACACAGATAGAAGAACCCTGCGCAAGTCCGGCCATCCCACCTTTTCCAGAAAACCCCCCAATAAGCGCCTTGAAACATGCATCTACATACAAAAGCCCATGATCACTGGTTGAAGTAATCTAACGTTCCGTGTCGCCAAAATGATGAACGCAGCCATTTTTACGGGATGAAAAAAACTCGAACAATATGGTGGCAAGTAAACAGGCAGTAGGAGGTATGTTGCAGAATGAACGAAAACGAAAACAAAGAAACGCTGGACGGTGGAATAAACAACAAGTGAGGAACCGGTGCGGTTGGATGACGTGAGTGACATCTCAGGGGTTGCACGGCCCTGGTCTAGGAGCTGTGTATGCCATTAGGCTCGGAAGTTCCATTGACTATGGGGTGGTGAGAAGCGTGATCTCCGTTGATAATGTGCGGTTTACCTTGGAGTGACGAAGAAGGTTCCGGGTCGATATGCATGCTAACAAAAGTGATATTGAGGCCGTGAAGATGCGGAATATGAGGTACCAGATCCATAAAATCGGAGCACTAGTTTTACAGTTAGCTTTTATACTTCTGTTTTCCCATTGTAGCGGGGGCAGTGACATACCTTTACCCAGAAGACATGCTCCATCTTCTCATACAATGGTTTGGCTTCCTGGTAGATGCGAGAATAGTCATTCACCCCAGCTTTGACAGGGTTGAGTTGTTGAGGATTCGATAACATAGGTCCGCTACAATCCCAAATATTGCTCCGCTGAGTAGGAGTTGCGGTTTTCTTTTCCCAGCTAGGGTCTATGATGTTTGATTAGCACATGATCGCGTGCGTTATCAAAACCAAACGTGGAAGAAACTTACATTGTGACAATTGGAGATCGTTGGTCGCAAGTAGTAGAGCAACATAGAAGTTCAGAATCCATTTCTCATTCCTCAGTTCAGGTTCACATAGTGGCTCAAGGTCATCCCGTGTGGCCTGCAAGATAGGCATGACATTCTTGAGGAATTCATGGCTTCTGGCCTTTGGATCATTGGCACCAACTAGGTTTGCAGCAGTGCGGAGACGGTGAGGGAGTGCGTCCCGCCGCCTCTGCTCTTGCTCTTCCTGTTCTCTTCGTATACGAGCCTGGCGGAGACGTTCTTGTTCGACTCTTCTCTGGTGCTCCTCTTCCGCTTGACGGGCTCGCTGTTGTTCTATCTCCTTGCGCTTGCGTTCCTCCTGTTGTTTCCGCTCTTCTTCCTGTTGCTTCCGTTCTTCTTCCAGCTTTCTTTCTTCTTGCTCAGCTTTCTCGCGTTCAATAATAGCCGCTTTTTCAGCAGCTATCTTGGCAGCTTCCGCCTCTTTTCGTGCTTTTACTTGGGCCTTTTCCGCCGCTCTTTCAAGCTCTGCTTCCGTGGGAACATGCTCCTTCTCGGTGTGCCTTTCATGTTTGGTCTTGATACCAGCATTGCTTTCAGATGGAGCTTCGGCCTTAATCCCTGAGTCAGAAGCTCTGTGCTTGAGCTTCGTGGCCGCAGGATCACGGGAAGCAGAACGATGCTTGTCGTTATGGTGCACCGAATGATCGGCTGCCTTGGGATTCTCGGCCTTCAAATTAATATTATCACGGTGAACTGAACGGGGCTTACAAGGTTGAGCGTCGGGTTCGGTCTTCGATTTCGATCCCTCGCCGGTAGACTGGGGCTGGCTTGAAATCTCACTCGAAAGTATCCGTCGTTTCTTTGCATGTTTCTCGCGAGTCTCTTCGTTCTCATTATTTCGAGGTTTGGGTGGTTTTGGGGAGACACTATTCCGGGCACGTTTCAAGATGGAGCTGCGTTTTTCTGACCTGTGACCATTATCATTTGAATCCTCGGTAACACCCGCTTTAGGTGCGTCTTCACGGCCTGAAAAAGAGTCCGAGGACATTACACTTGGTCTTCGTTTGGCATGATCTGGCGGCGGTCGTCCAGCAATGAGACGTCGACGCTTGACTGGCTCTTCGCCCTGCTTATGGGGAGTAGGTTCCCGTGGACTACGGGAATCGGACGGCATTTTCTGTTTCCTATCGGAATGTCCAGTATCCCTATCATCCATTAGGCCATGAGAGTCTTCCCGGCTTGATCCTTTGTTCACGGGTAGTCTTTCCTTCATAGGAACTGCACCATCTGCCCTCTTCCTTTCCTTTTGTGGCTTCGATTCCTTTGGACCTTCCTCACTTTGACGATGGGACGTTATCCCCTTACTCGAGCTCTTACGAACGACGGAAGCTGGAGATGCAGAGTCACGATCCGGCCTTTTGGCGACTTTGAGTGCGTCTCGAGACCGTCGTGGAGACCTAGACTCGACTCTCTGGGCCTTGGGATGCGCGCTGACATATTCGTCGTACGCTTCTTTTAGTAGATCCCGCTCTAGCTCCCAGTTATCACCTCTGCGATCCTCTGCAAGCTCAAAAAATCGACGATGCTTGTGGTCCGTACGAGTAGGGTTGAAGCCCGGCTGGTCTAGTAGAAGCTTTATCACATCAATGTTACCTCTTCCAATTGCTGCCAACATGGGCGTGTCATGGCCGGCTCTGTGATTTCCATTATTCAGAGGTTCTGGGTCAGGATCCGGGTTGCCCATTCCAAGCAAAAGTCCAAGTACTTCGTCATGGCCACCTTTTGCTGCTGCAATCAAGGACTCCGTGTCCGCCTTCTGGAGAATATTGAGGATTGTTGCTACTCCAGCCATGTCGCCCTTTGCAGCAAAAAGTCGAAGATTTTCAAACGTTGGCTTTGTCCATAGTAAATCGTTCCGGGTGGCCTCACTCCTAACAGTTTTCCGTCGATTAAATTGTGGTGGAGGGCTCTGGGGATGGTGAGGAGGGGAGTCTGGGGAGCTCGCGGCCGACGCTCCTCTTGACCGAGGGTCCTTCGTTGACGCGGTCCCATGTCCACTTATATCATCTGACTTCCGCCGTCTGTTACCACGGCATTTCGCCTCTGCGAGAACGCGTCGTAGTTCATGTCGGTTTTCGTTATCAGACGGAACAAGATCATATGGTTCATCACCCTTAGCATTTCCCACGCGGGGATTTGCACCGGCTTCTAGGAGTATCTTGACGACATCCAGGTGTCCGTTTTCCACGGCGTCAATGAGGGGCGTATCACGATCAATGTTCTTGGTGTGGATGTCGCAACCAGCCTCGATTAAAAATTTCACGATTTCAGCACATCCTTCAAGAGCAGCAATTTGTAGCGGCGTATTTCCTGCATTATCTGGAACATTGAGATCTTCGGGTCGTTCGGCCTGTCGACACTTCGCTGCTTCTATTTCCTGCGCAGCACAGGCTCGGGCAAGGCGCGTTCGACCATTCTGATCGCGTAGTTTTTTGTTCTGTGTCTGTTTCACGGGAGAGAATGGATAGGTATCGCAGGAAGTAAGTCGACGATTGCGTGGATTAGGAGGAGGTGAGCCGGCGCTTGAGGCAGAAAATGGAGAAGCTCTACCTTCCGAAGGGTGATTCGTTTGGTCCATTAATGGTTGTGGGGGTAATTTTCTTCTCTTTTGGATACTAGAAAGTGGAGGAGAATGCGTAGAATCGGATGTTACCCTCTTGTGCGAGCGGATCGGAGGAGACGGGGACCTGTCCTGACGGCGGGGAGCATACAGATCGGGTTTCCCAACAGGCTCATTGCTATGGGATTGGGATCGATGGCTAGGCCTGCGCCCACCGCTGGGAACATCTCTAGTGTCAATGATTGTACTTTCCGGTTTCCTGTGGTGTTGAGGCTTGTCGTCTAATTTCCGCTCAGTAGGGCCATCGTCACGGGGAGATGGGGGACCCTGGATATTGGACAGCACCTGTGGTTCGTCGGACTTCTCTTGCTTTAGGGCCGGAACCGGACTTGACGCTCGAGAACTCTGGTTGCTTCGATGGGTTGACCTGGAGTCGTCATTCTCGTGGTCAGGACGTTTCCTCTTGCCGAGTTGCCAATTACCAGGTTGACTGAACTTGGGAGTCTTCCGAGCGGCAAGATCCAATCCATTCTTCGCGTTCTGGCCGGGGACATGTCGAATGTACGTCTTCTTCTTCTCTGGCGATAACTCCTCTCTGCCAGACTGAATGATAGTTTCCGCCTCGGAATCGGCCTTGACACTGACGGCGTCATCGTTTACATCCGCGTCCTCAGCCGTGGGTCGTCCATCATCTCCGTTAGTAGAAGTTGCTCTCCGAGGCACGTCCAAAGCGGGTTTAGGGGCGAGGTGCAGAGTGGCTCTCTGATGGGAGGAGTTCAAGGTTTCCGGTAGCGAAGAGGCCGTTTCAACATCACTCATAGCGGTTGAACTTGAGATATCGAGCCTCCTTGTGGCATCCTCAGCAGAGGAGGGCTCGAGGAACCGATAGCGAGGTCAGTGAGGGCGAGGGGGCGATGTTGCCTTCGGTGACGGCCACGTAAAAGGGCACTTGTGAGCTGCTTTTGACCAGCAAAAACGCGATGCCAGGCAGCCAGAACGACTCTACAGTAGTAACAGTGCAGTGGTCTACCAGTATCTCAGGTCTGCGGGTCAGTCGTGGTAGCGTGTCGTGGTGGGTGGACGTCGAGGTCGTCGTCTCTTTCTTTGGGGGGCAGCAAGTCAGTGAGTGAGAAAGCGAAGGAGGAAGAAGAAGAAGAAGTTGGTTTTGGATTTCGCGGACGAACTTTTGCTGCGAAAGAAAAAAAGAGGGCGCTAGGTTCGTTTGGGGAAGAGGCTAGCTGCTTGGGGACGCTTACTCAGCCATAGGCAGAGAAGGAGGAATACATCGATTCGGTCATTTGAGGCGCTGGGTGGGCGGTTTACTCGGTTATTTGTGTATCTGGCAAGCGGGATGAGAAGATGCAAGATGGAAGATGGGACGAGAGACGAGATGAGACGAAAGAGCCGGAGGCGAGCCGTCTCTTGGGCAGTTACTCTTATGTTCTTCCTCGAGATTTAGTGGTGGACTGACTCCAGTTTAAACTAATGGTCACGTGAGCATTTGAGGCTCGCCTTTTGTTTGTTTTTTTTTGGTTTTCTTTCTTTTAAGCGCCAGCAGGAGTTCATGAAGACGAAGACGAAGACGATAAATGTCGATGTTGATGCTCGTTTGCGGCGCCGAGAACTAAATATAAATATTCTAGCTGACTCGCTGTCAGGCCTATCCCTGCAAGGGACGGGCGATCCAGCATGGATGAGTTCGCTGGAATGGACCTTGTTGACGTGATAAGAGGAGGATATGTGGTGCTAGCTGCGAGTGTACGAGAGCCTGATACATTATAACAAAGATGTTAACTGAGAAAGAGGACGATGATGATGATGACGATGATTATGATGGCCCAGACGATATATGCTGACTGATCCGTAGGTTATGGCTGTTAACAGCCTCAAATTCCTCCGTGACAGGTTCATTTCATACGGTGCCCGGACTCTGCCAGCAGCCAAGCAGTCCAGTAGCAAGCCCGCTACGGTGGCCACAGCCTCTCCATGGAGTAGCATTACCGGGATGTTGAACTGCATGGCAACTTGGGGTGTGCCGCATTCCTACTTTACCCATTTCTATTACTGCGCTGTCGGTGTGGCGTTCTTCTGGTGGTATCAGCTTCTTGCCAGAGGATGGGCTTTTAAGCTCATTGCAAGCATGGTTGACCATGAAAGCAGGAAGAATTCAATGTCCTTCAACCAGATATTTCTCTGCTGGTCACTGTTTACCATCCAGGCCTGCCGTCGACTCTATGAGTGCCTCTCGTTTGTTAAACCCTCTCAGGCAAGGATGCATGTCGGGCATTGGCTTTACGGATTTGCCTATTACATTGTCATGGGAATAGCCATCTGGATTGAAGGAACAAGTAGGGCCCGGCTTCTTTTATATTTGAATGAGTACGAATCTAACTTAAACGTAGTTACTCTGCTCTCAACTAATAAGCCATTGGGCAACGCTGCCATGACCGCGCCATCCCTGAGATCTTTGATCTTCATCCCAGTGTTCATATTTGCTTCTGGAATACAGTATGACTGCCACGAGTACCTGGCATCTCTTGTTAAATACACCCTCCCGGTACATCCTGCATTTGTGAGCATAATATCTCCACACTACACCGCAGAATGCATGATATACCTTTCGTTAAGCATTCTGGCTGCACCTCCGGGGTCAATAGTCAACAAAACCATCTTCTCTGCCGTGATTCTCACTGCCGTGCAGCTGGGGACTTCAGCAGCAGCCACTAAGAAGTGGTACGGTGAGAAATTCGGAAGGGAAAAGGTTAAAGATAGATGGACCATGCTACCACTTATATGGTAGACTAATAGATGCTTTTTGCTGTCATCGCTTACTTAGATATTTTATACTATTTCCAAGCTTTGATACCTTCAGCACATCTCTATATGTCAGACTAATCCGTGTCTGTCTCTCGTATTTCCCTGCGCAGAAGGGCTGGCTGTCACCCAGGTTACCCCAATTGCATATCGTGTCTTCTCCAAGATCTTCGTCAGACACCCTCTCTGCAATCCCATGCAAAAAGTCAGAGTATAGATTCCCCGTGGTAACCAGCAGACTTCGCCTTTCCTGCAGAATTCGAAACCGTGGAACTCTCTGGCCTCTCACCGCCTCCTGCGTCTCCACTAACGGGGGTTCTGGAGCTGATAGATCGCTCTGTCTCTTATCATAGATATCCAAGATAATCGGCGCCGCAAGACTTACTGTCGCCACGATCGGATAGTACGCCGCACCATCTTCATGAGGCATTATCCCTTGCCCTGGCTGGTACTCGTTAATAAGTACATGATTGGGCGATTGGTGAGGGGAGTCGGTAAATATACATAAATCTCGAAACCGAGAGGTAATAGGAAGTTCCAGCCATTCTGGCAGCGGTGAGGCGAGCAGGGTATTGGATTTACTGAGCGCAGATGGCCATGTTTGTAACCGCCGGCGGGATAATTGTGTCCATTTAGGAGCTGGAACAGACGCTATCTGTGTAAACATTAGTAACATTGCTAAACATTTACCACAACGCCATGAACATCCTCGGTACTTGAATCCCACCTTAAGACAGATGGGCTACTTACTTTGTTTAAAAGTATCTCCTCCTCACCCTCTGAAATAAAATTGGGAACATAGTATGCAGCATCTGGAAGCTGGCTGATTCTGTAGCTCTCTAAACCTTCTGGGTTATTTAATGGCCCCTCCATCATATTTCTCATGCGGAAGTAGACACGAACGTCCCTAATATCATTATAGTATGCATCAAGAGACTGTTGCATGGGTGTAGATGTGATGTTTGTCTTCAGAAGTCTTTTTTACTTGTGTACTCTGTAGTTGGTTGATCACTTCCGGCAGACGGGAGCTCGCCGGTCACATGTCCGGGATTCGTTTAGTCAGCTTTTAGCCCTTAGGTATTTCTCAGTCGTGCTCGACCCTCTTCTCCCCTGGAAGTTGTTAACTTATACGGAGTACCGAGCCATGCAGTTTCATGGCGCATAAACCCTGTACCAGCGTGCCTCAATACGACTGTGGGAAGAGGAGCTTGACATGGCACGCCTATCGAAGACATCCCGTGAAATTTACCTATTTCCAATGTCTACGAGCAGTACCTAGGTACTCCGTACGCCATACTCTCGGAGAATAGGATCTCATAAATATCACAGCTAGTTATTTATGGAGCCGGGAGAGATGCTGTTGGCTGGTTTTTTCTCAAGAGTACCCCTGCTGGTTCTCTCCTTGGCCACATAACAAACACCAAATCACATTGGTGGGCCCCAGGCAGTTTGGGCTGTCAAGTACGTACCTTGTTAAGGAAATGTCAAGGCCTCCAGCATCAGGATACCCCAATGAAAGCGATCTGTCCAAAGGTTGTACCTGACTTGGGCCTCACGGTCGTTTCGGCTGACTTCACAGCTACGCCATTCATTCAGCGTGGCGGTTTACATCCGAAAGGGAGCGACAGCCATGTAGTGGATGTCTGGCTTGAAATATTCTTGAGAGATGTGATAATCATGGCAACCAAATACCGTGATTTCCCTCGAGCGTAAGTGTCTGTCTGGGTATTATACATGGCCTGCGGCCGATCAGTTCTGGGATGCTGGGGTGTCGGGGACCATTTCACCAATCAGCAGAGCCGTTGTTCACTAGTTCCAACGATGGGACAGGGATGCCGCATTGGTTTCAGTTGTCTGCTATACATAGCACATACGGAGTACCTAATGAACTCTTCCAGTGAAATATCATGCAAATTATGAGATGCAACGGTAGTAGTATGAAGACACTCTAGCGGGACTTTCCATTATTCTCCTAATAAGACCCATCCGGCATCAAATCCACTACTTTTGATCCTTTGGGCTTTGCTGAGTGTTGGAACGGGAGATGTTGGTAACCTGGTGGTGATGGACCACCGGACCAACATTTATCACGCCTAGCGCAACATCCAGTTGGGCATCCTAATAGGATGTGACATGGATATTTTCTATTTACTGCAATCCCCTGCACTAAAAAGGCCCAGGATGTCCAGCAGGCAGCTCAGCCCCTTTTTGCTCTTTTATATTTGTCCCCTACGATGGCCTCGTTACGGATGGTAGGTGTCCATTATCAATATTGTTCATGGCAAAGATGGGCATTCTCCCACATATATTATTCTTGCTATCACATAGCATAATATTCAGTTTGGCTCTGGATTGCCAGCCAATACGCATTTCCGGGTTATCGGGGGGGCAGCCTTCTCATTATCACTACAAAGAGGAATTCCGTATACGATTTGGACAATGGTCGGATAACGAGATCAAAACTTGTATTGGGAAGGCAAATTCGTTCGATATGTGGTTAATATCGGAGCATTCAGACTGCCCATATGCATGGCCAGTATTTGGTAAGTCAGGTGTACCGGTCATTACAAGCGAGCTTTGAGAAATACTGACGAATATCTTCAGAAAATATAGTTAATCTAACGGCGGAATACGATGTTAATGTAAAACTCCCCATATCGAAGGAGGACCTTAAATGGTCACCATTCCATCTTGACCTCAGAGCAACAGCCGACGCGTGGTATGAAGACGTGAAGTTGTTTGCAAGGTCTAACACGTTCTTGGTGGGTGGCGACGAGGACACCACGTCGCACACCACAATCACCAGCACGTCAACCTCGAGCTATACTACGTTTACAACAGTCATATCGACATCGACATCGGAAAGCTCTCTGCCACCGACTGCGACCGTTGTGGTAACCCGGACACTGGAGCCTACTGCAACCGGTCCCATACCCATTGCCCATGGGAAAGCAGGTCTCAGCACTGGCGCAAAGGCCGGCATTGGGACGGGCGTAGCGTTTGGCTCGATCGCCATAGCAGCTGCAGTGTATATAATAATACTTCTTCGGCGGCGACAGGCGGACAAAGTCATACCGATGCTCAGCGGCGAGGAATCGAACAAGTACTCGCCTCCGGGGCCACCGGAAATGCACGATGAAGTACCGGGCTCGCTTCCTGTGGTTACTGAGACAAACGATCCCCAGAAAAGACCTGCCAGCGAGATGCTCGGCTCGATACCAGTGGGAAAACCCAGTGGTAGGGTTGGTGAAGAGAGTGTGCATTACGAGTTGCCATAATGGGTGTCATATGATTTTATTCTGAGGAGTCATTTAGATGGCGTTCGATATCGATGTATATACCAAATTTTCTTTTGCTTTAAGCGTTCGAGCTATCATCGAGATGTTTAATCCAACATTAATTCCAAATGAAACAATACCTTATATCAACGCCTCGAGATAGCTTCAACATATTACCCTATACATCCGAGATGTCTTGAAAAAAGACTTAATATGACGCAAGGAAGAAACAATCTTGCGGGGCCTTAACTGGTTTATATCACATACCAATGTATTGAAGAGCCTTTTAGTCTCTTGACCTCTTACGTGACCTCCATCTCTTAAATATCCGGTTCTACAGCAGATATTTATAGATAGCTACTAGTTTAGAACTTTAAGGAAAGTAATTATTTAGTCAGCGCGGCTGCGCTTCAACCACACCTCATGTCAATCATATCAAGGACTATATATGTGACATTCCCCAATAAACCATCTTTTACCACCAAAGCCATAATCGGATTTTATTCCTATACCCATCTCTATTAAACCCGTCGCATAGAATTCTTATATTGCTGCCCATAACACCTACTGCCCTCGCTTTGCCATGGCTCCAAAGAACAAGGGAGGGGACAGTAAGGGTGGAAAAGGCAAGGGGAAAGGAAAAGAAGCAGAAAGTTCAGACGGTGGGAAGGGAAAAGGGTTGAAGGCGGCTAACTCTATAAACGCTCGGCATATTCTTGTACGTCGTGAATATACCTGGTTCACCCTAGCCAATACACTCACTGTAGAGCCTATATATATAGGGAGTGGGGGAGGCTGGGGTAGGTCTTGGTTATTTACTTACTCCGTGGTGTGAATAGTGCGAGAAACACTCGAAGAAGGAAGAAGCTCTGGAAAAACTGCGAGCTGGGGCCAAGTTTGATGAGGTAGCTCGGGAGTTTTCAGAGGATAAAGCAAGACAGGGTACGATACCTTGAATTAAGAGATTCAATGCTCCATCTTACTTCTTTGGACATCTGCAGGGTAACTTCTAACATGTTTGCTTACAGGTGGATCACTTGGATGGAAAGTCAGGGGCAGCTTGGATGCTGCATTTGAGAAGGCAGCCTATGAATTAGAACCAAGTACAACAGGGAATCCCAAATACGTCGAAGTGAAGACAGGGTTTGGCTACCATATTATTATGGTGGAGGGAAGGAAATAAGCAATGACACAAAATAGCTTCCCCACGTTAGCCCTTTACTAGTCTGAGCAGCTATATAATTTAGGGTATTTGAAATGTACGTATCAACTATATACATGAATGTGAAGGTTAGTTTATTTGGAGTGAAAAGTCTTGTCTAGAGAATGAGAAAGAAAGGATGCATAAGAATCAAAAATATGAACGTAAACACCTGAGTCAAACGTGAGAATAGAGTGGTAGGTTATCCAGAGGGTGGTTGCCTGTGTGGATTAGGCATCTAAAGGGATTTTGCCTCTTTGGCCTTCTCACGGAGTTTCTTTTCCTTCTCTTTTCTCTGAACCCACGCTTCGGCTCCAATTCCACCAAACACCAAGCCAACGCCCACCCACTGGCCTCCACTCAATTGATGACCAAACCATACAACACTAAGAAGCATGGTTAACATCTTCCGAGTCAGCGTCACTGTCACCAAAAGGAGGGAAGAGAAGTGAGCCAGTGTATAGAAAATGAACAGTTGGCCAACCGCACCACAGGCAGCGAATGCAATAACATCTTTAGTAGCTTGCGGGTGACAGGAGAGGAACGCTATGGCTGAAGAGAGTTCGGATGTTTGTGATGGAGGGATAGGTAGAGGTAAGAGTGGGAGAATAGAAGTTGAAAGGTGAGGCATGACAACAAGATAAGCGCTCGTGAGAATGGTGGATATGAAATTTTGAGCAACCATCATCTGGGGGCCGCTGAATTTGCCATATAGCTTTTGAGAGGTAAAGATATGATCTTGTGTTGTGTTGGTGAGGCCGTCCAGTAGTAGGTTAATGAAGAGAAGGAAAAGGCCGAAGATAGAAGATGAGTTTGGTCCCTTAGATCCGTTCTTCTTCTTCGCCGTGCCAGGATGGTGCAGTGTAAAAGTCGCCACGCCAATAGTAAGGAGGAGAATAACACCGTACTTATATAACGGGTAGCGTTTTTGGAAAATAGTCAAGTGAAGAAACATGACCGGCAACAGTTTGCAGGACTTCGCCAAGGTGAAGGTAACGTAGTCAATGTGTGCAAGACTGGCATATCCGAAAGGAGAAGCGAGAGAGGTCGACAAGCTGACGAGTATCAAAGGAACAAGGATCTGACTGGTAGGGAATATGGATGGTGTGCTCGTCCCGCGAGGCGTCGAGAAATAGAGGTACATAGACCCCGTGATGACCGCAAAGAAGGATTGAATGGTATTCAAAACCAAGGAAAACGTGAATCTTTCGGTTTGGGGGTTCGGGACCGCGGAAGTGGGTGGATGGACAGGATAGTACGTGGTGGTGATTGCTTCCTGAAGCACACCCCATGAAAGACTACCAGCAAATAGCGTTAGAGATATATGTATCTCGTAAGTACGCATAGAGCTACTTACAAGGAAGCATAGATGCCAGTCACACAGATCACCAGCTGCAAGAGTCCGGCTTGGGATGGCTCTGAGGTAGCCTGGATCGAGGGTTTCCCTTTCTCTGGCTGTTGAATTGTACCATTGGTCAAATTGACATTCATATCTGGAATGTCTTTGGGCTGATGCATGATTCCGCCGGAAGGCACCCGTTGGATGGGAACCTTTTGTTTCTCACGCGCCATCGACAATGTGGAATCGATGAGAATCGAGGAGGGCTCAAGAATCTAACTGTCCCATTGACGGAGAAAAATGGAGAAGAGAAATTAAGAAAAACAAAAGGAACTAGAAAGGAATACTGCGGCAATAAATATAATACAGGACAAATTGTTGCTTTTGATCTTTCGAAAGTTCTCCTGTTCGGGCGATGACGATCCTGAAATCTGTCCAGTACCTTACTTATTACGTAATCGACGCTAGAGGCTGATCAGATAGAGTTTAATCGATATCAAAACTTTATTTCACTGTCGCACCTTCGCATTTTCAGATTTCATTACCTGGTTGCATCAGCGGTCCAATTTACGCCTACATTCACCATATTTAGGCCAGCGGATTGTAGACAGATAGATCCACTAAGATAGTTGTTGATCTTTCAGCCAGTCACATACAAGATTGCGTCGTGTCTCACGTCCATATTTTCGAGGATGTCCAGCCACGCTCCATCAATAGCCCCGTCAGCTGTCACGACGCTGATATCCTCACAACCACAACCTTCTACACCGAATGTGGCTCTCTCACTCGAGATACTCCATAATCTCGAACATCAGCACCAGTGGACAGGTTTAAAAATTCATAAACCGTTCTCCCTTTCCCAGAAGCAGTCCGTACCGTTGATATCTGGGACCCCTCCCCAATCCATTTACATCCACCCAGACGAACAGGCATATCTGTTGGAACATCGTATTCCCATGAAAGACATTCCAAAGGACAGGGAATGGGTAATTCCAACGGCTCAAGGAGAGAAATGGACGTTAAGTCAACTAGCTGGCTTACATGACTCCTTGCCTAGCCGGACGGAGGATTTCCTGTTTGATTCGGTTGATTTGGAGGAAGCTACAAAGGAGATACAAGAATATGTAAAGCTCAAAAAAGAAAAGCCTTGGGGAGGGAAGCGAGCCTTACTTGCCATGGTAAATCGAGGCTTGGGTGGAGATGGAACTGTCGTATATTACGTGACGATGGAAGGAACGCCAAAGCCAAGGCAAAACTAAATATTAACGACTTCACGAAGTTGCACTTGTCAGGTGCACAAAACGAAAAATTATCACTACATCATGAGTGAATAAGGATACCGAAGACTGCCTAGAAATATTTGACTTGACCACCCCAATTATCATGGTTATTGTACAATAAAAGGATTGACATATATATAATAAAATGCAAAAAAGAAAAAACCCGTACCACCGTTGCATATATTGAAACCACCAATTCCGTCAACAGGGTATATATAACGCATAATGAATGCCGGAAATCAAATGTGATGAAAACGACCCATAATGCCGATGCTAATTGTCAATACGAACCCGTTCCTGGTCCCGCTGGCAACTCGAACAATACTCCTTATACCACTTCTCAATTTCCTTCTGATTTCCAGATAAAATCTGTTTTCGAATACCCAAAACTCCGTCATGGTCTTCATTATCGTGATAATGTATACGCTCTTTGAGTAGTATATCAAGCATGGCGCATCTTCCGGTTTCTCGACGGAGCCATCTCTCCCATTCCAAATGGAGAACTTCTTTCTCAATGCTGTTCACCACTCTTAGGCCAACAAGGAGGTTGTGTCGGTGGGTTCCAAGTCTTTCGCGAGTGCGTTGGAGCCGGTACGCAGAATTCCGTGATATTTTATTACGGGCAGGTGTACCCAATGGTGGTAATAGTAAGTCATTTCTTGTCAAACCGTTCTCTTCACGGAATGTTGAAAAACTATGGGGGTCTCGACGTTAGCATATTTAAAGCCTGTATTTGAGAGAGCGACTAACCAAATACTACTATTGTAGCCCTGAATCCCGACCGACTTCGGAACAGCATCATCTAAATCTTTAAGATAAACAGCTTTGCCCATCACCGTATTTGGACGAACACCAAGGCGGGTCATGAATTTACCCGCGTTGCGTTCCTGCCACCAATCCATTGTATCACGCCAAGAGTGAAACCCATTAACGAGAAGACTAAGAATTAGTAGCAATAAAATAGTCTTGTTGGCGTTGGATACTTTCCAAATCCACCGAAGCAGTGCCCAGAACCAGATGATCAAAGACGATGCTGCGGATTGGAAGAGAGATCCAGATGTTTCTAATAAAAGTGGCAGTAAACCACTCTGCTTTAATGGACGCTGTAACTGTAACCGAAGCTTCTCAGAGACCGTGATGTTGGAAGTTTCTGTCTGGTGGCCGATGTTTCCAAACATAGATATTGCGCCTTTCGTTGTAGGATACGGGCCAAGTCGTTTAACTTGATCTGATACAAGGTCGATCAAGTCTAGCGAGCCTTGTTCTAGTTCCTTCATGGCCTGTCGTTCAATTATGCCTGGGACAGCGTTAATTTTACGAAAAGACCAACGTGTGGAGAAGTATTAAGAGGCTTACTGCTGATAAGATACGGCTGCGATATCCACTCAACTTTAGTGAATATCGCCAGTTTGCATTTAGATTTTGAAACGTGGGTTATGACGGCTTTGCTAACAAGCCTGAATTGCCGTTTAAATGGGAGATGCCAGGGGGTCCGCTTGTCCGTGACAACGTAACAAAGGTGGTCGTTGAATACATCTATGATTTGGTAATCACAAACGTCTGCGAGGTGGGACCTCCCTAGATTATTTACAATATTAGTTTAGTTAAATGGTTTATGATTTTTGGCAAATCTTACCAAAAGTATCAACCATGCGAATTTGGTAGGCCATCTCACGTCGAAGATGGGAGGAAGACAGCGTGACCCAGGGTCCTTGTTTGATATCTTTAAACGGTTAGCTATGAAATAACGCATAGTAGGATAAGAGGCACATACTCTGCGCTCTTCTCTGATGCTGAGATAACTGCCAAATCGGACTGTTATCTCCAAACAGCACGAGGAATAAAGCTTTAGGGCTCATATTAACGTATTGCTCGGCTGCAAGATGAAGGCAGCCTTGCGGTTCATATATCACTGGCTGTGATGGCAATCTTATGCGAGAAGCTTGTGTGGCTGGATTCTGCTTGATGGGATCGATGTCCAGGTCGTGGTCAATGTATGTGCTGGCTTTCAACAATTTCTCTGGTTTTGGCATCATGGTACCATCATCCGCTGGGGTGTTCAATGATACGTCTTCCCAACTGTCCATACTAGGTGTTCTTGTCGGACCAGTGGTTTCCAATTTGATCAGTGTGCTGATGACTGTTTCTAATCCCGCTGGGTTATCAAGAGCAGCATTGGTGACGAGGTAATTCAGTCTCCTCTGGAGCAGTTTCAGGGGTTCCAAAAATGTCTTCACACCTAAACGTCCAGGGATATCGCTCCCTTTTTCTGGAACAACGTGAAGGTATAAGAAGTCACAATCCCTACCGGGCGCTGCGGTAACCTCGGTTATACTACGTAGATTGGCGCAGGTAGTTAAAACTAGCCCTAAATGGTTGCTATAGAAATATATATTGTGGGTAGTTGCAAAGGCCCTTCCCGGAAAGTCTTGTTGATCATTTGGACTAAATGTGGCCCTAAAAACGAGAACGAGACTTTCGTTCCTGGGTATATGGGGGAAGAGTAGGCGAAATTGAGAGTTGTGGGGTCTAAGTTGCTGCGGATAGTAAGATGGATAGTCATGAGGCATTGTTATTGCATCAGGACTGAATGATCCAGTGTCTCCAAGGCTGACAGTAGCTCTATGACGTGTCATAGATGTACGGCCTTGAGTGTTACCTTTAGTACTAGAGGGGGTATCAGGGGTAATTTCAACCTAATTTGACTTGTTAGCTTGAGATCCGACAATATAAAATGGTGAGAAGAATGCATACTACAGGATGATCAGGAGTAGTTGCAGAGGATAAAGGTGGGTCTTCTCGTTGAAGTTGGTTCACCATTGCCCATTGTGAACTTCCCCATAAATTGGCCATCATTCCAGTAGGGATCGAATTTGCGGTGTCACCTGGTCCCATACCGATGCCTCGCTCGGCGCTAACCATAATGGCCACCCTGCTCATACTTGTGGGCGTAGGAGGATTAACCAATGTCGATGGTGCAAGGGAGGTTTGGCTGCGGTCGCTCTTAGAGGCCCCACCTCTTGTTTTGCCGTTTTCGACATTGCCATCCTTCGTAAACGGAACGGACACGGCAGGGAACATGCTATGGCTGGCAGATATCAAGCTAGCAATGCCACTTGACGGTTGCCCAGGCGAAGGCGGCACAAGGAGAGGTGAATTTGCATTTTGTTTCCGGTGGATGTCTAACTTTTGGATTATCCTTGAAGTATGGTCACGACCGGCATTGTCGGCGTCTCTGTCTGGGCCAGTAGATCGCCTAGAGTGAGAGAAATCACCACTGCTCCTGACACCTAGGGCATCCAGATCTAATAAAGGAGTAGTGGCTCCGCGTTCAACAACGGGGAGTTCCTCACTGGTGTTCGGGGTCAAAGAGTCAGAGGGGTCTGCTGCAAATTCAGGGGCAGGGGGTTGTGAGATTGCAAATGCTGGGTCTGGTGACTTTGGCTTTGTGACCACTGATATCTCTGAACTAGGGCTTTCGAGGGCTTTCCGTTTAGCAGCTTCGAATGATCCTATCCAGTCTGTGAGTTCTTTTTGAGTTTCCCCCTGTAGTAGTATTGTGTTACTCTTGGTCTTCACTTCAAAACAGAAACGGCGTTCCTCTTGAAAAGCCGGACGGATACTGCAAAGCAATACACCTATGCGTTCGCTCTCTTCCACTCCGCCAGTTCTGGGGTTTTGAACTAAGCAACCAAAAATGCCATTCTTCAAGAATGCCCAGCGCCGTACCCAGAGTGTTCTCGTCGGCTTTCCAGTAAGGACTCTTAGGTTAAGCCAGCCTTGCTTTTCCGGAAGGAAAACATGGCTCTCAGCAAGTTTGACGGATGCAGGCCCGTGGGAACCAAGGTATGGCACAGTAGAGATAGAGTAATCCTCCAGTTCTCTTGAGGGTCTCGTGGAATATTCAACCGATTCCTCAATTTGTTTTCTTGCTACCAGCAGATCTTTGCGGGCGGACTTCTCGCCTGCCTCCAACTCATGGGTCCAGCCTTTTGTTCGCTCCATCTCCTGTCCATACTTGGTGAAGGTAGCTGAGGATGCATCCCTGACGACTCTAAACTCCCTCCATTGGTCAAAGAAAACTTTGACAAGAAGCTTTTCAAGAGCAACTTTGAGCTGTGGGGCTTGTACAGAGAAGTCCATGGAGGCTTTGAGGTATGCTTTTCTAGCCTCATGGAGTTGAAATGCATCTTCTCTCAGAGAAGATGGCTCCTTTGATTTTCCTTGGGAGGAATATCTTGCTTGTAGCTGGTCATACTGCTTCTGAGTCTGATCAAGGACTCTCCGTAGTTCCTGGAAGGTGTTAACGGAGAGTAACAAACGGTTCGTAGAGGAGGTGTATATCCGACCTTAAATGCCCGTAGATCTCCCTGCATGAACGCCCTGATAGGCTCCGCAACCTGTACTTCAAACCGCTTGGTTGCATTTATCATCCCAGACCAGCTATCTCGAAAGCACTCTCCGTATCGTTTCATCGCGAGTAATGCGTAGTCTTGATCGAGGATGGCTTCGGAAATATTCGGCGGTGAGGTAATATGGGCAAGGATTCCATTAGATATGTTTTCCAACGATGCCAGCTCGGACGTAAGCCGCCCTGTAGTTTTTATATAATTGTCGAGCCATCTTTCCATATAATCTATCTGCTCAGAGAAATGTACCGTCGTAGCTCGAAAACTCGGTGAATCTAAAGCAGCTTCTTTTAAGACAACCGGCCTAAATTCAGGGTTAGCTTCGTCCTAATAAGTGATTTGGTCTGTATTCAAAGGCCTAGATAGTATAGCCGGCACTCACACAACATTCACCAGTTTCCCTTCCTGTGGTATTGACAGTTGTATCTGTGACGCCATCTGGACGACTTCCTCCGTCCGATCTAAACGCCGATACACAAAGGGGTTTAGCACCAACCCGCAAACATCCACCGTCGAGCACTTGGATCAACAAGAAGAAGTAAGATAAATGGAAATGGAATATAGGAAATCAGAAAGGTCTGCTGCCATGCCTTTGCTGCCACACGACGAGGCTTTGCTCTCCTGGTCGCTCAACTTGTCAACGTCAAGCAAGCTTGGGTAGGTTAAAGTGGATGAGTCAGCAAACCGGTGAGCTTTAAGGCTGACCACGTCATTGGTCGAGGTCGCATGTGCATTCCTGGCCCACCACAGGGAAAAAATAAAATAAAGATAAAAATAAAAACTTCCATGATAAGAGCAGGAGGCCAAATTCGACAGAGGAAGATATATATCATTGATGCACCGTGGGTTGTGTTGTCTTTGAACCGGTGACATTCAGTTGGCTGCCTTTCTTCTGTGCAGCAATGGAGCCCCCGAACAAGCGTCAGAAGAAGGTGCTCTTTGCGGAGAGTGGCTCAGAAGATGAAGCTGTTGGGGAGGACTTCAAGCTCAATGTCAACAGGGAATATGCCAGACGATTCGAATATAATAAGAAGAGAGAGGAGATGGTACAGCGTTAGTATCAATTCGCCCACCAAGTACACTACACGGAACAAAACCTAACCTGCCGGTCCCTGTAGTCGAAAACAAGCTGGGAAAACGACCGCTCTCTAAAGGCAAGCCATCCGCGGATGAGGAGGAAGACGAGGAAGAATCTGACTCTGAGGACTCCGAGGAAGAGGATGATGCTGCGGAACTTGTGACAGAGGCTCTAGATGAGGAGATCGCGGCTACATTGCAAGCTATAAGAGCTAAAGACCCGAGGGTCTATGACCCGAATGCGAAGTTTTATACCACCCTGGACAACGCGGAAAAGGCAGACGGGGCCAAGTTGGAGACAGCCAAGGCAGAGAAACCTATGTACCTGAAAGACTACCATCGTCAGAACCTACTCAGTGGTCAGGCCGCCGTGGACGACGATGAAGCGGATGCGCCAAAGACGTACGCTCAGGAGCAGGAGGACCTGAAACAGTCGATTGTCAAGGAGATGCACTCTACAGTTGGGAAAGGGGAACAGGATGATGACGAAGAGGATGATGGATTCCTGGTTCGCAAGGAGAAAGTAGCGTTGTCTAAGTCAGACCGGCCTACAATAACAGAGAAAGATGTTGCCGAGGCGGACCAAGACCCTGAATTGTTCCTATCAAATTTCATGGCGTCCCGTGCCTGGGTGCCCACTCCGAAATCCAACTTTCAGCCTCTGGAATCCGACGATGACGAGGAAGATAACAGAGCCGAACAGTTTGAAGAAGCGTATAACCTACGATTTGAGGACCCTAACAAGCTCAATGAAGTTATACGCACACATGCTCGTGACACTACGAATAAGTATTCTGTCCGAAGGGAAGAGATCAGCGGCCGCAAGCGGCAACGAGAGCTGGAACGACAGAGGAAAGAGGAAGAGAAGAAACAGCGTGAAGAAGAGCGAGCGAGATTACGAAAACTGAAGATTGAGGAGTATGAAGAGAAGCTTGCAAAGATAAAGAAGGCAGCCGGCGTGAAGAGCAGCGACTTTGCAGATGAAGACTGGAGCAAGTTCCTTGACGAAGGATGGGATGATGAGAAGTGGGAGAAGGAAATGAAGCAGCGGTTTGGAGACGAGTATTATGCCGCGAATGAGGAAGAGGATGAAAGTGGTGACGACGGGGGTGGCTCCTCAAAGAAGCGAAGGCTGAAGAAGCCCAAATGGGATGATGAAATTGGCATTGGCGACCTAGTGCCTGACTTCGATGAGGATCTAGACGTGGATATTGATATAGACGAAGAAAACGAAGACGATGAAGCAGAAGGTGACGACCACAGCGGAGGGAAGAGGTCCAAGAAGCAGATGCTGAAGGACAAGAAAGAGAAACAAAAAGAAGCCAAGCGAGAACGACGAAAGATCGAGGCCCTGGCTGACAAGTCCCTCGAGCTCGAACCGTCTCTCTTACCAGGCTCCTCGAGGAAGTTTGGAGGTACCTTCCGCTACCGCGAGTCGTCTCCCGTTTCATTTGGCCTGACTGCCCGCGACATCCTGATGGCCGACGACTCTCAGCTTAATCAGTACGCCGGCCTGAAGAAACTGGCCAGCTTCCGGGACGCAGAGAAGAAGAAACGAGACCACAAACGGCTGGGCAAGAAGGCTAGACTACGAGAATGGCGCAAAGAGACGTTTGGTACCGAAGAGCCGCCTGAGTTGACTGCTGAGACTGTCCCTACAAACAACAGTGGAGACGCCGACGGAGAGACCAAGGTAGACATCCGAAAGGGCAGCAGCAAGCGCCGCAAACGGTCAAGGAAGCACTGATGTATTTATTATTACGGAGTACTATGCTCTGTCCTCTGTTCTATGTATGCTCTTGATAGATTGGTAGCTCTAGACGTCTGAACCAAGCCTTCTTTGAACGTCGTTATTGATGTACCTTGATGACTAAGCCTACGACGATCGATCCAAAGCTTCTCCTTGGAACAGCCCGAAGCTCCAACTGCCAACTCCGAAGCATCAAGCTGCAACAACGGCGTCTGCTCCGTGGCAATCTGCTTCTGGCAACACGCTGAAGCAGCCATCTCAGCGTCGCTGCTGCGAAGAAACATATCCCAGGTCCCTCGTATTCCGGCTGGTAGATTAGTTTAACATAAAATACGCAGCATGTACGCGCAGTACCAGCCTTGCTGCTGTCTGAGCGTCAGGAGGTGGCCAGCTTACAGTGTCATTACCGCGTAACACCCTTGCTGCATCTCATGCCTGCGCCTGTGGGTAGCGTCGCCCTCCTTCCTCCACCCCCAGCCCCAGCTTCAACTTCACTTCGCCTCCCTGGAGACGGCGGTTACCTAGGCAGCGTAAGCAGCACAAGCAGCAAGACCGCCGACGTCTGGTCTCTGGTTTGCCCCGAGTGGATTCCCTCCAGCAAGCAGCCAGCCCAGCCGAGTCGTGCAGTAGTAGCCAGTCGGCAGTAGCCAGCGCAAAAAAAAAAAAAAGAGAAAAAGTTTTTCCCGCCGAGGGAAAATCTCGGGAGAAGTCGGCAACGTGACAACTTCGCCCAAAGGGGACTAGCGCAGTAAATTTTCCTTTCCTCCCTGACAACCCAATTGAGTATTTTTTTCTCTTCTTCAGATTTTTCTCTTCCTCTTCTTCTCCTTCTTCTCTCTCTCTCTCTTCCATCTCTCAGCTTCATTTGCATCCCTCTCTCCTCCTTGAAGGCCTCGCATCTCTTTGCCAGCCTTTACCTCCCTCTCCTCTCTTCCCTTTCTTCAGTCCAGTGAAGAAATCACATACCGGCACAATGGCTAGCCAACAGGACAAGTCCATCCTCGGGATGCCCGTAAGTAGAGATCCAAAACTCCCAGAACAAGAGGCAGAGACGGCTCGACTATTCAATTGATGAGAGTGACTATCAATGGCATGGCTGCGAGCTCGCAATGGATGGAATTCGATGCCGTTGATGCTGCTGTCGAGAGTGGTGAAAATTTTTCGTCTCACGAGGACAGTGTCGGCTAACGTGTCTGATGGCTATAGGGCTTCGTCGTGGACTTCTTGAGTATGTGGAATCACTCCAGCTAAGCTAAGAGGCTAGAATAACGGCTGCGTGGACGGAGGTCTCAACTAGAGAGATATCTGATGCGCAGCTGCAAAATCCGGGATGGATATGCTAACAGTTCTTTCCAGTGGGTGGTGTCTCCGCCGCCGTCTCGAAGACTGCTGCCGCTCCCATTGAGCGTATCAAGCTTCTTATCCAGAACCAGGTACGTTTAAGCAAAGCTGCAAACTCCGATCTGAACCATTATCAGATTTTTATATACCTTTACTTGATAAGGAGGCTAACCCCCGATTAGGATGAGATGTTGAAGACTGGTCGTCTCGACCGCAAGTACAACGGCATCATGGACTGCTTCCGCAGAACCGCTGGTGCTGAGGGTGTCGTCTCCCTGTGGAGAGGTAACACTGCCAACGTCATCCGTTACTTCCCAACCCAGGCCCTCAACTTCGCTTTCCGTGACACCTACAAGTCCATGTTCGCCTTCAAGAAGGACCGTGATGGCTACTGGACCTGGATGGCCGGTAACTTGGCCTCTGGTGGTGTAAGTTTCAACCTGCCAAATCGGCAAATCGATCTTTTTTGGAAGACGTGAAAAATCTGACTGGTAGATAGATGGCTGGTGCCACCTCCCTCCTCTTCGTCTACTCCCTCGACTACGCCCGTACCCGTCTTGCCAACGACGCCAAGTCTGCTAAGAAGGGTGGCGGTGACCGTCAGTTCAACGGTCTCATTGACGTCTACAAGAAGACTCTCGCCTCTGATGGTATTGCTGGTCTTTACCGTGGTTTCGGTCCCTCCGTTCTCGGAATTGTCGTCTACCGTGGTCTGTACTTCGGAATGTACGACTCCATCAAGCCTGTTCTTCTCGTTGGACCTCTCGAGGGTAACTTCCTTGCCTCCTTCTTGCTCGGCTGGACTGTCACCACTGGTGCTGGTATTGCTTCTTATCCTCTTGACACTGTCCGTCGTCGTATGATGATGACTTCTGGTGAGGTACGTATAATATCTATATCACCAAGTAAATTATTCCGGTATCTCGTGTCTAACAAGCTGTGCAGGCCGTCAAGTACTCTTCTTCCTTCGATGCTGCCCGCCAGATCATGGCTAAGGAGGGTATCCGCTCCTTCTTCAAGGGTGCTGGTGCCAACATCCTCCGTGGTGTTGCCGGTGCTGGTGTCCTCTCCATCTACGACCAGGCCCAGCTCCTCCTCTTCGGAAAGAAGTTCAAGTAAGCGGCTCGCTCATCCAAGCCTGAACTATAATGGATCACAGTCCCTTCAGTGTTCATTTGTGATGGCCGTTGTTGCTTCTTCCTCTGGGAAAGAAGTGAGGATTGTCTGGACGCCCCCGGAGCATCATCATGGAACAACCACAGTGTGTCGAGAACAACCGAATCCCATCGTCCTCGTTCTCGATGCATTAGAGACATCGGAGACAGGGCCGCCTTTTTCCTTTCACCACCCATCTGTACTTTACCACTACTACATGCGAGGTCTCTTTCCTGCTGATTTTCTGTGTATTTTCTCCTGTGACATCTTGGCATTCAATCAATTTCTCTCCCTTGTCCCCCTTACCTTTGTCCTTTCTATGTTTTCACTATGTACAACCTTGTCAGATAGAAAAATGTCTTTTTTTATTGCTCTCAAACTTTTCTCCTTTCTCCCCCATGGATCTCTTCCACAAAGCTCTACGCCGACGGCCCAATCAGAGCCCGTCGAGCGGAGTCACATGATATGACGTAGCTTCCACTCAGCCATTTGTAGTAGAAAGAACCCCTACTACATCTAGCATCATAATACTCAGCAGGATATCAGCTGCTTCTATTCAAGACACATACCCTCCCTCCAACCTTGTGGACTTGTCACGCTACCTTGCCCCCGGCCGCTTCATTCGATGATGGAAAAGGAACCAGAGAAATCGCCGACTGGGCCCGTGTCTAGTCAAGAGGAGACACATCTGCCTACATCCACGGCAACATCTACAACAACGGCTCCAGAAGCCGAACCAGCTCCTATTCCAACACCCACGACTCCAGCAGCCACTTCAGAAGAGTCACCCTCACCTGTTCCACCTCGACCACAACCACAAGCTTTTCCAGCACCGTACACGGGACACAGTACGTCATGGACAGGCGCCAGCGTACCACCCCCATCAACCCACAACGGCCCTAAAGCCATCCCTCCTCCTCCCAAAGCATCAGAAATGCATCTCTACAAGGCGTCAGCGGCAATCAGCAAACCGCCTAGCGCACACATAGATACTCAACCCCACACCCAAACCCAACCAAACCAATACCCTCGTCCATCGTCCAGTCGGGACAGTACAGTGCCTAACCTTGAGCATCCACCTGGATACCGCCAGAACCCAGCCATCGCTCAGCCATCCCTCGCAACTCTCGCTGCAGATAGCGCAGCCTTTGGTGCCGACGAGAGCCCCTACTTCGGTATGAGGCAGGTGTGGGATCCAGCGCCCGGGGAGGCGGGAGGACGATACGTTTACCAGTATGACTTTTTCGGCGAGGAAGAGGAACGTAATGTTCACGTGGGGGGCGAAGAGGAGTGGTTGTGGAACTCAGCTGCCGGGGCATGGGAAGCAACTGTTTCGTGGATGAAGAGTGCTGGGGAGAGAATGGCGGAGGCAGAAGAGGGGATTTGGAGGTGGGTTAATTCCCGCTCATAGTAGACAGAAGGACAGTTCCTAGGTGGTACTCTTTCGGGTATTGGTTATTGTATGACTGATTAATGAATTAATTGTATTATTACGGCATGTCCTTTATTACACTGTGCGATAGGTAGATAGGCAAGAGGTATGAATTGGCGGTTCCTCATTAAATTAGCTATTGCGTATAGTATATGTAGTAGTAATATATAGTATGTATAGTGTATGTAGTATCATGTAGTGTAGAGTAGTGAGTATATGTATGTATCAAACATCTCATCTTATGTCAATACCTGATCAAACCCAGGAAAAGAAAAGCAACTACCTAGCTAGGAGAAAGCAAAGAAATCGCTTTGAAAAAAACACCCCATCACAGCCAGTCCAGACCAGGAGCTGCAGAGCTACCCGCCAGATGAATCAAACTCCCCAGTACAATACAGTTAAGATGACCAAGTAAGTTGCTGGGCGGCAGACCAAGATGTCATGCATTTCCGCTGGCTGGCTGGCTGCGTAGAAGCAGAGAGGAGAAGAGAAGAGAAAGCTCTCGTAAAACTTTGGAAAAAAAGGGGAGGGAGGCGCAAGGCAGACAGACGGGCGAACAGGCAGGGCGGATGTCAAGTGCGATGCAATTAAGATGACCTGAGCATCCGTGGCTCCCTGTGGCCTCGTCGTCGTTGAGCGTTATTGAACGCCGTCGTCCAGAACCAGAAGCATGCAAATGACGTTGAAGAAAAACGCATTCTGCATCGATAATGTGTGTTGGGCCTTTTTCTAATTTTTTTCTTGTTTCTTATTTCTCTTCCAAGGTTATTCTCATTTTTTTGTGTGGTTGTTTCTTGATTTTCGGCTGATGGAGTTGGAGTTGGTAAGGGGAGGAGGAGGAAAGGGAGTCGTTGTGTGGTATCGTGGCATGTCGTGGCAGGCAGGCAAGGCAGGCAGACAGTACAAAGGGAAGAATGAGAACAATAAACATAAGATATGGGGAATCATGATGCTAGACATAGGAAATAGGAAAATAGGAAAGATGAAAGGTGAAAAAATGGGTATAAAGAGGAAGTAGAAAGGGAAAGGAGCAGGAGGGAGGCTGCTTGTTTGTTTGTTTGTTTGATGCTTGATGTTTTCTTTTCTTTTTCTCGTCTCTTGTTCCTGATCTTCTAACGGTTGTTGCTTTTTGCTGGTGGACATGGAACAAACAGGGAAGAAGACGAAACGAAGAGAGCGAGCGAGATAAAAAATAAAAGCATAACAAGACAAACGCGCCAGCCAGCCAGTTTTTCTTCTTTTCCCATTCTTTTCCCCGATTAATTGATTGATTGATTGATGATAATTCCCAGTTCCAGTTCCAGTTCGTTCAGGTTCGGCTTTTTCGACTTCGAGTTCTAACTCAACTTTCAACTTCGACTTCCAGTGCCCATCGTGTCTCAGATAACGCTGCCATTGTTGAGATGGTCAGGCTAGCACGGAAGGAGTTCGAATCGCGCGTGTATGTTGAAATCAAGGTGAAAAAGGTCGAGGATCATTCGTTTGCTTGTTCGGTGTGTTTTTTTTGGTGAGGGTTCCTCAGCTTGCACCGTATTCCAGATATGCAAGCAGCCAACCGGCCAAAAGAAAGGAGGTAAGAAGGGGAGAAAAGGATAAAAAACAACACCCGCCACCGTCAGATCGGAGTTCACGTTAAGTGAAGATAACACATTAAGTAAGCGCTGGAAAGGATAAAAAGGGAAAAAAGAAAAAGAAAATAAGGAGAGAAATATACATCGTGAGGCCAAAAAAGGAGTGTGTGGGTTGATAAGTATACGATCGGGGCCAGCCACGCGTACTGTATCGTAGATGAAGTAAAAAAAGGAAAGGGGGGGCAAGGCTTCGTTTCGGGTCATGTCTTGGGGATTAAAATATTGTATAGTGGTTTAAAAAAAAAGAGGAAAAAAGGAAGCAAGGGTAAAAATGTATAGGTGTGAAATGGGTGGGTAAGGTATATGCATGCATGGGTGTTTGGGCGTTGAAGCAAAGGTTGTGACGAGGATGTAAGCCGACTACATCGACCCAAGCTGCAGGAGTGCTTCGACAGCGGCGCGTTCCTCGACGTTACCAGCGGGCATGGCGATGGGCGCAGCCTTGGCCAGAGCAGAGGAAGACGGACCTCTTCCGTAGCCGTAGCCGTGACCGTATCCATGGCCGCATCCCCGAGCGTAGAAAGACGAGGGGATGAAAGCTTCCTGCGGAGAGCTTGTGCTCTAAGTGCATCCGCCCCGATGGTTGGCCCAGCCTTCTTCGTCAGTCATGTCAGCTTCGTCCCAGTCGCCGTCAATCAGGCCTGGTTCCTCCGGAAGGCGGAGGAAGAGCAGTACATGCGTGGCTGGCTGAACACCGTCGTCATCGAGGGACATCTTGTCCGGCTCGTCGATGTCCCTGGGCCTGGTTGAAGTCTGAATGGGAGAAGATGGGCGAGTCTGCAGGGGCGTAGTAGTGAGGCAGAGAAAGGTGGTGGTTGTTGACGTGGCCGGCACGCTCAGTGGCAGTGTGATGATGGTTCCCTTCCCGCTTCTGCTGGCCCACGACGGTAGGCGTCCCAGCGACCCCATCCCGACCTTTTCGAACTCGACCTCGCCGTCGTCCATGGAGTCAGCGTTGGCCGAGAGAGACGCCTTGCCCTCTAGACCAGCCACGACCAGTCTCCTAGCCTTGGCAGGCGGTATCATGGCGAACCCGGGTACAGAGGTAGTCAGGTACCCCATGATGTGTCTGATGGCGAGCGGGCCGTGTGCGAGCAGGATGTCGGGCAGGTGGTGTCTGGCCAGCATGGCAGGGGTGATGTCTCCTGAGACGTCAGCCTTGCCCTTGGTGGTAGCAGAAGGAACACGCCTGTCTTCGGTGTCCTGCAGGTCGATATCCGAGTCTACTGCGCCTATCTCGTGCTGGGTGTCGTGTGGAGCGAGGGAAGAGGAAGCCGGTGGGGAGCGGAGGTTATACTGGTGGAGGACCTCCTGGGTGACACGGTGCTTAAAGCCCTGGGGGTTGAGACACGGGGAGATGGACGACGGAGGCGTCGGCAGCATGCCGTGGCGGCGAGGAGCATCGCGCGACTTGGGGATGTCCATGGAGGCCGTCTTGGAGACTGAGCGAGGAGCCATGATTATGATAGTATGGTATCTGGGGGGAGCAGGAGGCTGATGATGTCCCTTTGGCGATGGGTTGTTTATTGTTAACTGTGTAAAGAGCAGGAGTGATTAGCATGTGACTAACGCGACAGTCCGGAGTCATAAGAACAAAAAAAAAAAGGAGAGAAAGGGAGAACCAACGTCAGTGAAGACCACAAAATGACCACGGGCTGAGAGTATCAAGAGAGAAGTATAGGACTGTCTTTTCAGTCCTTTGGTTTGTTGTTGTATTGTATGTTGTATGCAGTAGTAAGAAGAAGTAGAAGAGAAGAAGAGATGAAGAAAGACGCGGATGGAGATATATTAAGACTGTACAGAAAGTGGAGAAAACAGAGGAATAACGGAAAGCCAGTCAAGTAAGTAAGAAGAGTCAGAAGGTCAAGGATGAAGTCTTGGTCGCTTTCTCTGCTTTCTTCTGCTTCTTTGCTTGCTCTTCCTAGCTGCGTCTATAGGGGGGAGAGAGAGAATGAAGAGTCTGTCTGATGCTGCTGCTGTGCTTTGGGCTGTTCTTGTTTGGTGTTTGGTTGAATAGAAGAAAAAAGGCAGAGGAAGAAGAAAGACGAAGACGAAGACGAGAAAAGGCGAAGATGAAGAAGGAAGAAAGAAAAGTGGAGACCTCGCCCCTTTGGGACAAGGGCTGTGCCAAGAAAGAGAGTCAGGTGGGACCCACTTTCTCTTTGCTTTTTATAAGGTCTCCCGCGGGCTAAGCCGCTTTGGGCGCTAGGCCGGGTTGACCCGATCTGGTGGGTGCACGTGAGCTGACTCATCGAAGAGATACACAGACCAGATAAGATAGACGAAGTAGATCGCAGAAGTTAGCAGCAGTTGGGCTGACAGACGAGTAGATAGGCAGCAAAAGAGCGAAGAGATAGGACAGAGATAAAAGAGAGAAAAGGCTAAGAGAGGAAGAGGAGCAGCATCCAGACATGCAGCGTCCGCTTTCTTCCACTTTCTTCCATCTTCTATTTTCCAACTTCCATCTTCCTACATCTTCCTGCGACCCTTTTTTTGACTTCTCGACTGCCTCTCCACCCGCGCCTCCCGCCAGACCTTTCGCGCTCCTCCAGCGGCTGCCCGTCTCCCTCTTTTTCATTGGCCGCTCCCGCACCAGCCAACCACCACCCGCCTTTGCTCCATCTTCCTTTGCTTCCCTTATTGCTTCATGCAAGTCATACAACTGACGTCTCCCTCGTCCTCTTCTTTTTCGTGCTTTTCCAGTCTTCCACGATGAGGGTGAGGGGTTTCTGGCTTCCAGCTCCCTCCTTCGCTTACGTCGGCTCCCTCGCGTAGCCCTCGTACTCCGGAACCAGCCTACTACTGACTAACCGGATAACTAATCACTCAGCTACCCCCAAGGTCGACTATATATACACACACACACACACACACACACACAATTATATATGGATACATTATATATAGAGTCCAAGGTCTGATATTTCAGATTCCAGACACCTTGCGCGTCAGGCAGAGCCAGTGCTACAAGATGTGACACAATCGCATCATCGCATCATCGCATCATTGATCGCCCTCAGGGTTCTCGACATCCTTGACCCCCAGGCCCAGGTTGCTGTTACTCTTGCTGCTGCCCTTTCTCACATCTAGATGTAACAGCGCTGGGTCTCTCCGTTCCTTTCCGGCTCCATCGCCCCGACCCCGATTTCCCCCTCCCTGCCTGCCTCCCTGCTCTCTCTCGTCCCGCCCACGCGTTCCTCGCTTCTCTCCTCACTCGCCCTCGCCCTTCCGACGCTTCCACCCCATGCCGAATGGCTGTCAGGTCGACTGTGCATGTCGCATATTGAAAACTGAACTTGACCCTCTTAGGGCTTGCCTGTCCTTATGCATGCCCGACTCTCCCACCACAGGGCAGGGGACGACGCCTGATTGGTCGAACCTTATAGCCGCCTTTTCCCTCGCTGCGTGGCTTCGCTCCCATTCGACGGCCTAAGCCAGACACAACTTAGCTCCTCCTACTTATAAAGGATCTCCTCTCTCCTCCTCTCACTTTACTCCGTACTTCAAAATCATTATATACCACCACATATACCTCCTCACCTCCTCCAGAGTATCACAGACGCCACGTCGACCTTATCACCTCTACCACTACCACCGCTGCTAACTGCTTCACCGCTTTCACCAGTCTTAACGAGTTACAGGCTTTTCCTGTGACCGCCACTCGAAAAGAGAGGCCGCCACCACCTCTAATAACCCCAATAATCAGCTTTTTTTGTTTTGGCTTTGATACCCCTTTACACTCATCAGAAATGGGTGGCATCCATGATGCTTTCTCCTAGGACTTCTTTCCCCGGCTGGCCGCTCGCCTCTGAATTCAAAAGCACTCCGTAAAATAATATGTCTTTTATTTTATTCACTTTGCTTACCAACTTACAAGGATCCAGCTTTTTCGAAACAGCGGGTGCAACGGGCCTTGGTTCTCTTTCATTCCACTTTCAGGTTCCTGGCAGGAATGGCGGGAAGAAAAAGGGGGGCCCGGGTTTGAGCGTTCGAGGGTTCGAGGGTTCATTGGGGCGATCTAGCTTTGGATATATTAGATCGATGGATGGAGAGCGGCTAAGATTCGTTTAGACATGGAGTAGTGGAGACCTTATTCTTTGCCGTTTGATCGATCGTTCTCCTTTTTCATCTGTTTTAGTTCCTCTTAAAATTGGTGATCATAGGCTTGCCGAGATAGGGCCAGAACCTCTCGCTTTTTCTTGCTCCTCTTTTCTTTTTCTTTCCTTTCATTTCCCTTTCTTTTCTTTTTCACGTTTGGGGATCTTGCGCTCGTTCGTCCCCTGAAACGAGATGGTTCGTTGGTGGTTTGACCCTTTGTTTTTTTTTTTTTTGCTCTAACCTTGCTGTTGATTGGTATCTTTCATTACATTATGATACGGTAATTCTCAATATACTGAATGACCATTGGCTTAATTTAGTAAACTTGGTTTTATCCTTGTTACTGCTGAGTCACTAGATGAATAATAAGAATATCTCCCATATGGGAGGCATTTTGTATTAGTCATGTCAAATTTGTCACTTGACTTGTATTTTTGTCACAAGTCATGTGTAAGATTAGTCAGTGCATTTCGTTCTCAACTGCATCTTTGAACTTCACTTTTCGGAGACATCGTGATATCCTCGGCGATTTCCAACGGAGGTTTATCGACGCTGACATATTGAAGCGTTTGTTGTTGGCAAGATGGGCGTGGCAATCATGCCGTTTGGAAAATGAAATTCATCACTTCTATGCTGTCAACAGGATGCCTTCAGCTGGCTGTGTTGCCCATGACCAACGCTTAGGACTAAATTTCCCTCTTGATATCCAGCCGGCGCTGTTCTATATGTAGACGGCTTGTCATCAGATATCTGGCATCTGGCCCAGCGCACACCGTACAAATTTCGGCTAACGGCATCCATCTTGATCCTGAATTGAAGAACCATCGTCTCTTTACGTCCTTTAGGATATCAATAATTGATTGTTCGCAACAACAATCCCCAATATGGCAATGGATAATTCTATAAAACATGGCCTTTATTTCTTCCTGCGAGCTATTTCCACAGAAGCTCCTGGAATTTAAATTATAACTTCCTGACGGTGGTAAGAGATTCTCCTTTAATGGAGTTATTATACCGAGAGGATTGTTGGCCATAATTATAGTGAAGGGCTAGTGATTATGGATTGGACGAGAGGTAAAGGCCTAGAGGTACATGCACCCCGCTGTTCGACCAAGTTACTCCTTAGGAAGGAGGAAGGGAAAGGAGCATATGTATACCCTTTCAGGAAAATACCCGTCCTTTTAAGAACATTAGGGGGATACACTCACTTCCTAGGCTGTTTGGCAGTTTAATCCCCATCACTCTTATTAGTTTACCTCATCACGTTGCAGCGTATCGAATGACTGATGCGCTTCGAACAAAGGTGAAGTCTGGGTGGGGCGGAACGGCCCGAGAGTTAGTTTTAAACCTCGGGAGGTAAGAGGACGACCCGTTGACGAGCCATCTAACCAACCGAAGGACGGATGCCCTTTTTAATAACTATCACCACGCTGATCACTTCCAAAGAAGTTTGATTCAGCTCATCTTTCCCAAGAGCTCTTACAAAGCAACACTTGAAGCAGTCAAGCTTGGAAGTCTATGGGCATAAAGCTAACTAGCTACTACCTTAATTTGCTGGCTAACCAGTTGGTCGCATAGCTAGCTGCTGCTGTTTAGTAACTACTGTATGATACACATTCTGTCGTACTACTCATACAGTCGTGCTATCCTACCCACAAGATTATCTCTGTTGCCATGAGACAGCACATACTGACGGATATAACGAGTCACCTATTTCTCTCCTTTAGCTAGTTATCTATATGATAGCTGCCGGCCGGGCAATTCAGCGAGTTATAAGTAGCCATGGTCTCTTTTTGCGAGAAGCCATGGCTTTTTTTCTAGGTAAGACAGGATTTTCTACACTGCCGAATGAAAGAGAGATACTGATACGCATGAAACTCACTGCCGGCGTTTCCTCTCCACTTCGGCTCAATGGGTATACGGAGGGATTTATCATCATATTACCTATCCTTCCAGCCTCAAATAACTTGGTCAAATGTCAGTTATTCTTGTGTATACGAAGTACTCTGGGTATCTACCAGTTTCCCACGCGTTTGTATGTGGAGGAGTATGACCCACAGTCAACTTCCGCGCTCCTATCAATGGTTGCGATATTTGACTAAAATATTTAGGTATGGGTCTGTAAGTTCAAGGGGGATCCTCGCATGTTCGCACAATGCCTGTCAATATGCAAATCCGAGTACGGAGTACGTCATTTACAAACAAAGAGTGGTTGGCATGGGCTAGCTACTGAAGTCGAGCAAAAACAAACATCCTTTCAATTGGAAGAATGCCAGTGAGCATAGGGATAGCGCTTCATTCTCGTTTCTTTGCTTTGCACAGCCCTGCTCCTCGATATTCATTTCCGGAGCAAGACAACCATGCCGGCAAGCCTGGATTCTAGCCCCAATGGTGCCACACCTCCGAGGGCCAGAGTATCGAAAAATCCCTGCACACTTGCATGTCCACTTAACTACTTAAGTAAGTAACCCCATGCAGCCTTGGACATTCGAGAAGGGATTTTTTTCTTGGGTCTAACCAATTCACCAGTAAGAAGCGAAGCAGAATACTGTGCGTGCATGTGCCGGTATAAGCCCGAAAATTGCAGGGAGAATTTTATGACTTGAGTCTGGTAGTTGGTATACAATAAACACCTCGCACAGAGCAGTATACTTAACTAGCTAAGTGAGAAGAACGGCAAGCAATATACCCATATAAAGCATGCTTGGAAGGACAACCTCCATATATACCAGCTCCCATAATGAAATTCTCTTGAGAATGAACCCTTGCTCCATTTTAGCGCTCATCTGCCGTGTTTGAAAATGGGGCCGCCTGTAGTGTACCCTGGGTTAGCATGCATGTTCGGCTGCACCTGGGTAGCTTTAGGTCAGGAGGAGCAACCCAGAGTAGACTCTTCAGCTTGTTTTTTCCCTGCAAACTACTCCGTCGACCAGGTAAAGAGTGCCTTGGATGGAGCCGACAGCTGTGGGGCTCTTTGAGTGGACTGAGAGCTATCCTCTATATATACCCAGCCTGCCACACTTGCTAGATAGATGTCCAGTGCAATGATAACAAAGAAGTCGAGTTCATGGCGGTTATTTGACATTAGGCTACACTTTCCAGCATGGCTTCGAATTTGACCACCTCAATTCTTCCGCACACTGTCGTTCTAGACTATGCACAGGCGGTGCTAGAGACAGACCAATGGCTTGGAGCAGCAAAACGTCACATCCTAGCTCACCCTTCGGCCGTGGGCCTCGCCATTATATTGGGTATAGTTGTATATGCTATCTATTCAAGTACAGCACGATACTTGCGACTTAGTGCGTTCAGGGGCCCTCGATGGGCAGCATTTACACGCCTATGGCTGTGCAAAACAATAGCTTCCGGTGAATCCGCGACTCGATTTATAAAGATTAACCAGAAATATGGCCCCATTGCTCGAATTGGGCCCAATCATCTCATTACCGACGATCCAGATTTCATACGCAAAATTCTCGCAGCTCGATCGCATTATACCCGTGGACCGTGGTTTGACTCCATTCGGATAGACCCCGAAGTGCCGAATATTGTATCTGAAAGGCATCCTGGTAGACACAATCACCTACGACATCAGATGTCCGGAGCATACGCAGGAAGGGATGTAGAGGGCCTAGAGGGTATGATTGATGAACGTATTCAAGATTTTGTTGAAGTGATTGAACGGAAATGGCTCTCCGATGCCAATGGGACAAATGTGTTTGACATTGCCAAACGGGTCCAGTTCCTGGCTGTCGATATGATTACCCATCTTTGTTTTGGAAAGCCAATGGGATTCGTGAAGACGGATAGCGACGTATCCAACTTCTTGGAAACGATTGAATCCCAGCTGCCCATTGTTCAGCATTTCTCAGTTATTATTGAGATTAATGATATATTGCACTGGTTGGTTGGCCTTCCTTTCATGAGGAGGCTCATAGTACCTTCATCCAAGGACAAGAGTGGAATCGGTATCATCATGGGGGTATGTTATGAATAGCCTCCAATACTTTAAAACTTATGCTTACCGCTGACGACAATTAGATCACCCGCAGTGAGGTCGAAGAGAGACAGCGATCCAAAGGTGAACCGAAAAAGGATATGCTGACATCCTTTATGAAGCATGGGCTGTCACCAAGTGAGGCGGAAACCGAACTAATCATCTCGCTGTAAGCAATGATCCATTAGTTGCTGAACAATATGGTATAAAATCTAACAGGCTGCAAGGGTCGCGGGCTCCGATACAACTGCAACCGCAATTAGGGCCACTCTACTCGCTGTAGCGTCCAACCCTCAAGTATATGCTCGGTTGACTCAAGAAATCTATGAAGCAGAAGCTAGTGGGAAGATATCCTCGCCAATTCGTGACCAGGAGGCGCGTCGTTTGCCATACCTTCAGGCCTGTATAAAGGAAGGCCTTCGTTGCTTCCCGCCTGTCGCCCAGCTGCGCGAACGCATGGTCCCTGCTGGAGGAGATACATATAACGGACAACATATCCCTGAAGGCACATTCATCGGCTTGAATACCTGGGGTGTCCAACTAAACCCGGTGTTTGGTAACGATGCTCAGGTGTTCCGGCCGGAGCGTTGGTTGATTGACGACGAAGCGCGCCTGCAGGAGATGTCGCGAGTCCAGGAGCTCATTTTTGGGCATGGAACGACGCGGTGTTTGGGTATTCCCATCGCCATGATGAATTTAAACAAAGTGTTTCCAGAAGTATGTCCTATGTCCATATCCAGGTATGGATTATGATAGTGTGCTAACCGTGCTATGCTCTAGTTATTACGTCGTTTTGATATCAGTATCATTAATACCACTAGACCGTGGACCAGTATATGTTATGGTATATTCTTTCAGACGGAGATGAACGTTAGAGTAACTCGTAGACAGTAACTTGTTGATGATTAATGAATTCAGAAGATATATAGGTTTAGGTAACTATATCAATGATTAAGAACAGTAACACAGTGCCTCAGTATCCACGTTATAATGGTTAGTTCGAATAAAGCGCTTCCAAAAGTATGTTCTAATTTATAGTTATCTCAATATAAGTGATTCTAGTGGATGCTAACCACAATATCTGTTAGTTGATATATCAATTTAATATTAGTATTACTGGTACTGCCAAGCTGTGGACTAAATATATCATGGCATACTTTTAATATAGGGGTAAATTCGAGGGCTTCTTATAGACAAGGGGTATAGATTTATATCTAGTTAGTTAACCAACACATAAGCCTTACTGAAAAAGTATTGTTCAGTGGTAAATATTTAACTAACTACGTGACAAAGCAGATTCCAAACCAACCAATTATTTAACCACCTCTTGAACATCCTAACGAATGCTCAGGGCAGCTGCAAGCCGTGTCACTAGAGCAAGTTCTGCCAGGCTATGCTCTGTTTTTATCTTTGACTCATATCCTCATAATGCGCCTTGGGGGAATAATGGCACTCAGAAAACTCATGTTTTATGGCCGCTCTTCAACCTGGCAAAGAAAACTCGATATATCTTTTACAAACAAAACTCGTCTCCGAAGCCTCACGAATCTCAGGAAAACAAGCATGTCCCAAGAAACAAATGAGCTCTTCTCTTATACCTCTGGTCGTTGGCTTTATAATGAAAAGAAACAATTGAGAATGCGATATGTTGAATTCGATGTCGAAGCCCTCAAGAAATGTGCTTCCACCCTACTGGGTAGCCCGTGTGTTGGATTGAGAAAACTACCAGAAGGTCTTTATAACAAAGTGTTTTCCCTGGAAATGGAAAATGACAAAGATGTTTTAGCAAGAATTCCTAACCCAATGCTGGAAATTCAAAAATGATTACTGCAAGCGAAGTTGCAACCCTTGAATTTGTAAACAGCCCTTTGACTTTGATTCAGATGGGATTGGTGAGAGGATGCTAACTTGATTGTTTTCATCTCTAGCTTCGCACAATCCTGGATATTCCTGTTCCGAAAGTTCTTGCATGGAGCTCTCCAGGGACGCAGTTAAACCCAGTGGGCGCCGAGCACATGTTAATAGAAAAAGTAGGTGGCCGTCAATTGAGCGAAGTTTGGGACAGCATGTCTGAAAGACAACGTTTCAATTTAGTCAAGAGTGTTGTCGAGATTGAGAAGAAACTTATGAACACATCATTTACCGGCTACGGCAGTCTTTACTATAAGGATGAATGTGAGGGAAGTAACTCTAAATGCTTCAGAGCTATTAGCACGGACAAAGTGCCTGGAAAAGAAAAGGAAGTATCCCGATTCGTTATTGGTCCAACAACGGGGAGGGCTTTTTATTTTGACAATGACGAGAAGCAAAACGTCAGCCATGGGCCATGTAAGTTTAGCCATAAATTCGCCGCTTTGCTTATAAACTAACAATATGAAGGGAAAACGGCTGTGGAATATCTTACTGCCATCGCGAAGCGTGAGATATCCTTGATTCAGAAATTAAACATCGCGAGTTCGGATGATGCCTTGCCATTTTGGGAACGAGTCAGTACGCCATCATCGTCTAAGCTTCACGTCAAGCTCCTCGAGCAATTTATTTCCGTCCTCCCTTACATAATTCCCCCGTCTGCAATCACCCAGCCTGTCCTAATGCATCAGGACCTCCACTTTGACAATATATTTGTTGATGCAACAGATCCGTCGAAAATCTCGGGTATAATCGATTGGCAGGCAACGTATGCTTCTCCGATCTTTATGCAGGCACGATTCCCCTCAATTTTTGACTGCGACGACCCATACACTTGGGGCGCCGTGCAGCTTGCTCTTCCACAGGAATTTGAAACATTATCATTGGAGGAGAAAAAACTAGCCGAGGATTCACTTGACCGCCTCAGGTTAAAGAAATTTTACGAGTTAGCCTCAAGGAAAATGAACCCTCTGCTAGTTAAGGCGATGGATGCTATGAGAAATGACGAGTATCCAACGTCATTTATCTTTTACATAGTGCAGCAGTCGGCGTTTGATGGGCCAATACCGCTAAGAGAGCTCCTCATTCAGGTTTATGAACAATGGGATCAGGTAGCACGCATGGATGGTGTGATACCGGCTTGCCCTATTTCATTTACAGAGGAGGAGATAAAACAAGCGCGTCAACAGGCTGAGGAATGGGGAGAATCGTTCGGTGAATTTGAGAACTTCCGAGCAAGCCTTCTTGGTGAAGATGGATGGGTTCCGCATGAACAGTATGAAGAAGCTAAACGAGAGTTTGAACATTCTAAAGGCGAACTTGAGAAGTTAAGGGAAAAGCTAGAGCAGACGTTATAGTATAGAAAGTATGCTTGAACATTAACAATGGACACATGCCAATTACCGGACAACAACTTGTAAGTTAAGTCTCAAGATCCTAAGAAATATGACAAGACCTTTTTTCACCACGGGATAAATGTAGTTAGCTACCGAGCAAAAAATTAACAAAAAAGAATGAATTTATGTGCATCAACCGCGACTCGAACGCGGATTGGGTGCTTGACCAATTATGAATGGAAGGCACCCGTGCTACCCTTACACCATTGATGCTGTTGTGTGTTTGTGGGGCTCGCCTGTTGACGTGATAAAATCTTCTGATTGTTTTCTATATTTACCCAGAATTTAACCTTATTTAAGCTCATGTCACTCCCGAAGCGCCAAGCCGGCGCAGGAACCGTGAAATTCTCCTCACCGACACGTTGCAGCGTGAGGCACGCATGGCAATCCACAACTAGGTTGTTTCCGGTCAAAGATCGCGGCGACCATCTCATTTAACCGCTGTTATGCTGAGATCATGAGTCTGGTGGGTTATATTAGAAGGATACAAATATACTTGGTTTTTGTCATAATCAAGCCTCCTCAACACATTCAGTGTCTCTCTCCACTTTCAGTCGTGGGGCCTTACTTTGGCCTTTCCCCTTCCCCCTCTGACCCCCTTTCCCCATCGGAGCTTTTGCATTTAACATCCAATCTGGTGACTCTTTCACCAGCTCTCCATTTTCCCATAAGACGCCCAAGCCATTCTTTCTCTCGACCACGATATCGAAATATTCAAGTCCAATCTTCTTATCATCAGTCCCATCCGCGGGCATACCCTCACTCAGAATTACACCATTTTCACTTATGCCGAAAGGGCATCCAGCAGCCAGCGCACGCTTAAGGTCAATATATATCAGTATCTGGGCATCCGCTCTCATCCCAGAAATAACGCCATCGTGTCCACGGCCCTTGGTTGAAGGAGTGGCCACCTCGCCGTCTCTACCGTTAGGTAGGATTGAACTTATGGATGGCCCGCTGGCAAAATGTATGTGATTCCTCCCCATACACCTTAATCCACCGCTTTGAAGTATCTTTGGCCATGTAGCATGGTAGGTGCCATGAACAACAGTGTCAGGTAAGGGGACGGCGGGGTTTTCAGAGAGTGTCAGTGGCGTGAGTAGTGAAGCGGAGTCGATACACTTCATGCTATGCCCTTGTCGGGCACGAATCAGGTAATTATTCGCATCTGGGTCGTTCGCGGCGAGCGCTTGACTGGTAGCGGTCAAAAGAGAGGACTCATCACCCGTAGTTGCCTCTTCTTCTGCCTTAATCTCCGCAGAGCTGGGTTGGTCAGGGATATAGAGCAGGCCAAATCTTTGTTTATCGGAGGTGGAGACTGCTTCTAGGACATCTGGGAGGGTGGCTTTTAGGCCCTTGAGCTTTCTATATTGTAGCTAAATGACGTATCAGTATCTTGTATTGATAGGAACCTGCCTGTCATGCTTACCAGTTCACCAACATTGGCATAGCCTTGCCTGTCTATTTTTATTCCTTCCTTCTCGGCTGCATGGCGCAATATAAATGTGAGTTCTCTTGATATTCTGTATTCTCTTGACTGATCCCTGCCGCCTCTTCCTCGAGGTGGCGCCATTTTGATGGATATAGGAGAATGTATCTGGCGAGGGAGGCGGGCGTAAACCGGGGAGGCGGGGTGGAAATATCGACTTGGAGAGGAAGCAGAGGGACGAGACTGACGCACTGTTAACGAGTATAGTGCTCTTGCATAGTATGTTAACATCAAAGGGAGATCTGTGTCTGCAGTGTTGATATATAAGTTCGAGTCAGCTTGACTCATGGGTCAACAACGTTCAACGTGACTCACAGCTAATGAGAGTAACTCACACCTTCAGAGTTTATGCATCGCTCAAGCTGGCCCAAATCTCAAGTTCCCGCTGGCGCTAGCGCCGATTGCAAGTCGCGTTGTGCCAAGGTTTCAGCCGCGGCTGTCTTGTAGTTAGACACTTTGGTTACTCCTCTAGTTTCTCGGGGGCAGTTGAATGCAACTAATACCGTGGCCAATGCCAAAGTCCCTACTCTGCGCTAGGCGGTTTACTCATCCGCAAATGATAACTATGCCATTGCCGTCAATCTAAATAATGGATGGATATTGCATGTAGAGGATTCGAAAAGCCACCTACGCGTTCCTTAACTAACTACTCCTTGTGAAGGCTCACGATTATGCTCTTTGGCCTTGAATATATCTGGCCAAATCAAAGCTGTACCGGCTATGGCGGTGATACCAACAGCTCCCCAGCTCCCAGAGGAAGATAACCATTCAGACTTCGGTGATTTTGCACATAACAGTGATGAAGAAGGTGATCTTGAAGAGCTTGCAAAACCCTGGCACAAGTACGCTACAAAGGAAACACCACATGTCTTCTATCCCATCTGTCTTGGAGAAGTGCTCAATAACAGATATCTGGTAGAGCACAAAATCGGCTTTGGTGGTTTCTCAACTGTCTGGATGGCCCATGATCTCCAAGACAAAAAGGATGTAGCTCTCAAGGTCATGTCATTGGGGAAATGGGGAGACACCTAAGCACGCATGCAGGACGAAATTACTCGGAGTGTGCAAGATACCTCACACCTTGTGACATATTTGGCAACCTTTATGCTCCCCGGAGATGGTGGCCACCACAGGGCGCTGGTGCTTCCCTTAATGGGCCCGCCACTTTGCTATTTTACGGCGAGAAACATGTCCGTGGCAACCCGCATGTCTGCCGCAAAGCAGTTGCTAGTGGCTTTGGGAAATCTACATAAAGCAGGAACTATACATCGTGGTGAGCAAGAACTAGCTACTCTCCCCTCTAACGGTATGCATTCTATAGCTATAGTTAACTAATTACCCAATAGATTTGAATGAGAGGAACTGTATGTGGGGGATGGCTCCTATGCACCATCTCAGCCGCAGCGCAAAGTATAAGGCACTCAGTCGACCATTAAAAGAGATTATACCAGGCATTGATAACCTTTGGAAACGGGGAGAACTTGTACATCCTATTAGTATCCCTGATGATCTGCGTACAGACGAGTTATTTCTTGGGGATTTTGATCTGGCCATGAAGCATGGTGACCCCGCGCCCCAACGCGGTTATCCGCCTATGAAATTCTGTTCCCCGGATCGACTTCGTAATAAGGGCTTAACTGTTGCCTGCGACATGTGGAGTTACATGATCATCTTCTCAATACTTTACCTTGGCGGCCCGCCTTTTCCTCCGTTTCTGAAGGGAGGTATAATCAGTGGTATTGTTAGAAGATTGGGGCCATTACCTAAAGAGTGGAAAGGCCTTTACACATATCCAAAGGGCCTCGACTCTTGGTATGATGAGAATCAACCTACTGATTCGAAGCATGATCTTACATCAACAATTGCATATTTTCGCCCAGATAGTGATCCAGCTGAGCGGAAACATGTACTATCTCTCATGACTAGAATGTTCACTTATTGCCCGGAGAAGCGCCTGACCGCGGCAGAACTTCTACAGGACCCCTCTTTCAAAGCTATCATGGACAAAAATGGCTGCTGATACCGTATCTGTTTTGGTTTACTGTATTACGTTTCTATTATTTCCCTGCATACTACGGCGTTTCTGATTAAATTTTGTGTTGTTTGTGCAAGAATTCTAGTGGGACTTACGGTGTGAGCATTTTCTATTAGCTATCTAACCAACTAGTATTGTTGTGCTTAAGGCCTTTTTTTGGGCTTAAGGCAACTTTTTATACTCTAATAACTCCAAGATAACAGTGGAAGGCTTTCATTAATTAGATCCTTCGTTTCTAGCACTACCTAGGTGGGTTATTCACCTGTTAGCATCCACTGACTTCTCACGAACAAGGCTCAACAAGAGTGGCTCGTAGGTTAGAGTCGTATTATATTCAACGACACTATGTATAAATTATACAAGAGCTAGATATAGTTTTAATTTCTGACAATATTAACGATCACAGATACAGCCACACTCAGCAACAGGGCATATCTTGTGCTTACGGAACCAGTCTCTCGCGTGGTCTGCATGAAATCCGTGGTTACAGTTGACACAAAATGCTACAAACCGCCTCATAATATCTTCGTGACTTTGGGTGGTTGATGCGGCCTTCTTCGAGTCTTCTGCGATTGATGCTTTAGACATCGGGTCTGGGGTCCCCAGCCATAAAGAGCATATACCACAACGAGGCATGTGCCGGTTGCATTTAGGGCATGCGGTGCCATTCATGGATGCGTGACCTAATGGATTTCCTGGGGTTGCGTGAGGATATTCAGTTGGAGTAGCAACAACCTCCGGATTCGAATTATCCTGTTGCGTGAGAGGGCGGGTGCAGTAGTTGCAGACGAGGCTAATCTGTTGGAGGGGTGGTTCCACAAGCCTGCGTGATTCCCATGTTATGGCAAGTTTCCGTGACTCAATATCGAACTTGACTCTGTTGAGATATAATTTCCATGAGTTCATCTGGTGTCGGTAGGTTTCGCGCCATGCCTCGAACCGGGCCTTGCTCGGGGCATCTCTGATAAATCGTGGAATTGTGTGGCACATGGCCAGGACGGGTGTCTGTATGTCATTGAACTTGTTAATGTATGATTGGAACAAGTCCAGCGCTGCATGATCAAGCCCTGTAAGCAGAACACCCTCAACATCTCCCTGGTGTATAGCCTGTACGGATGCATCTCTCAGATAACTCGTAAGCTCGGCGTCAGGCAGCCAGCGCAATGCAACTTCCACGCGGTACTTGAGAGGAAGAGTTGCTTCTTGCAATACAGACATCCAGTCACTATTGCCAACCATGGCGAGGATGGCCCTGGCATAGGGATCTGTCAGCTCAGCTGCGATCTCCGCACATGTCTCCTCCCAATCAGGTCCTACGTCTCCTTTTGACCCTCCTATGATAGCCATTGCTAATAATTTGTGCGCTTGGGTCGGTTTATTCTCCCTTAGGGCCTTGTAAGCTAATTTCACTTCGTCCTGGAAAATAGCCAAAGCCGCCGCTTTGGAGTGTTGCCTGTCTGCAACAAGTTGATTCACTGTATTGACGAGGTCGTCATTCGATTCTGGTGCACCGCATATATGAAGACAAAGCTGCCTTTTTTCGGGAAACTCAGATTCACAAGTTTTGCTCTGAGCGAAGTTAAGCTTGTGCACCAGTTCTTGAAAAAGCTGACTGATACTTCGCTCTTCACCCAGTTCAGAGCTATCACGTCTACTTTCAAAGCTTCGTCCTGCTACGTAGTTAATAATTGCCATATATAAAAAACCTGCGGCATGCTAAATTAACCAACCTAGTTTCCCATTCCAGACGCTATACACGCCAACATAATTCATATCAACGCCGTGGATTATCATCGAGTCATCTTTTGACCGTGAGTGTGCGCCTAATTCTTATCGTCAGCAAAGTAGGGGGAACTTTTGAAGTGGGCAGGTAACTTACGCCCAATCCAATCCCATAGCTCCTGTAGGGAGTGGTTATCAGATACTATAGCTTTATTTTTCTCGCTATCTAGCAAATATCCTTCAGCACACCTCAAGCGGGGTATTGTTAGCCATGATAGTGCATCCTCAAATGAGTGTGTATCGTTGGCTGAAACATGACTGCCTCGCTTATCACGATGTAATTCACTTGCGTCACCAATTGGGTGATCAGAGGTGGATTGGTGACTGAGCCCTTCATTATCTGAAAGCATACCAGGAGGGGCTATCGTGGAGTTAAGTTGTGATGCTGTGACCCCTAAGTCGGACGATGGACTCAAGAGTACGGGGCTCGAATCACTGCGGACTAGACCTCCCAAACTCAAAGAACACTTTGAAGATAGATCCGTAGAGGATGGCGGAGGTGGGGGAGTGAAAAGACTGACAGTTTTATCAGCCAAGAGGGTTATTGCAACTGGATGGGACACCACTCCTTTATTTAAAAAGTCGAAGGACGTAACCCGTTGCCAATCATTTTTTGCAGCGCTACCGAAAGGGAGAATAGAAGGCCGGAAGTCTTGCACCTTTTTAGTGTAAATTTGTTCAGGGTAGTGTTTACTAGAGTCCTGCCCTAGCGCAAGTTCTAAAGATGATTTATGTTCCTCAGAGAGGTATTCCTTGGCAATATCATAGCATCGAAATGTTCCAGTTGTGGTAAGCATCCCCAAGCATCCCCGCTTTGACCGACAAAATCGAAGGCTTGAGATTGTGGAGTTGGGTCCAAGATCTGGTACTAAGTCCAATGCAGTAGAAAGAGGGCCAGAATCCGCACTGGCAGATGCGGCACCTGCGGCTGTGGGATAGCGAAATCCCGAGCGACGATCCCATATACTAATAGCAACGTCATTTGAAGGAAAACAAGCAGCGATGTAGTTTTCATCTAGCCAATCTATGGCTATGTTGTGGACACATCGTGTGATGAACTGTAGCGATGGACTACCAGATGACTCTAGAGATGAGGGGATTAGGTAAGACATAAAAACCTAGTTATAGGGCTGATATGGAAGGGCAGAAAGGTAAGGTAAGGTAAGGTAGCGACGTACCTCGTAGGTCATATATCCTAACAGATTGCCCTCGGACTCCAACAACCAATGTTTCTGGATGATCCTTGAAGAACTTGATGCTTGTAATTGGTTCCGAGCTAGCAAGCTTGCGGAGCGGTTCTGTAGGATACCTGCTAGATCCAAATGGCCGCGCAGAACTTCCCAAGCTAAGGCGCTGATTCACATTCCATATGTTCAGACTGAAATCATTCCTAACTTTGTCGAGACCAGCAGCCAGCAATCCTTGCGTATTGAATGCAACAGCATTGCATGACCTCTGGTTCCGTATGGGGAAAACAATAGGACTCTGTGAGTCATCATCTAAGCGAAGAACTGCAGCCTCTCCCGATGACTGCCCGACAACAGCTAGGTTCTCGTCGGCTGACGACCAGTCGAATGCTCGAAACGGCGGCACCGAATGGCGAGAGGACAGGACATCGTACTTCAACGTCCCAAGAGCATCGTCGCGAGAGGTAACTTTGCATACATTGAAGGACTTCCCAGGTATATCAACGTAAAGAAACCTCTGGTCGTCAGATGTTGAACTCGGTGACCATCGGACAGCAGTCTCCATCCTGTGTGGGTATCTTGGCTTTAGTAAAGAGTCAATGCATATGGTTAAATTTGGTTTAAGTGTAGTTCACCCAGCATTACCAGCCATGGCGATTATGGGGTCATTATCATTCAAAAGTAGTCTGTCCGTCCCGGGGTTGACGTCCTCGAAGTCTGTCTGAACATACGATCTTCTCCACAGATGCGGCATGGACGGTCATGATTATATAAGCATAATTACCTGGAAGATAGATAAACCTTATTGTATTTACTTTACATTCTATTGGCTAAAATGACAATAAGCGCATTACCTAATAAAATTAAAATTGGACGGTCTAACGAAATTCCGCTCTACCAAAATGCAGGGCCGCAAAGAGCAGAAAAAAGTAATATTCGGTATTTCAATTGAGTGCCTTCAACTAACATATATCCTCCCTCGTTGAGCCCATTGAAGCACTGGATATATCACTCTAACGGAAATTATGAGCTCTACCTCCGGCAAACGCAGTCGTGCAGACGACTCTCATGAAAATTATAAAAAAGCACGATACGCATACCAACAAAACGGCAACAGTTCCAAACATCACAAGAAGAACAACAAAAATAATACTTCTGGATCATCGGGCCCCTCTGTCAATGATCTCAAGAGCAAGATACGAGCTACGAAGCGGTTACTAGAGCATTCGAAGGGTTTACCTGCGGACGTGAGGATTGAGAAAGAGAGGGCGTTAAAGGGATACCAAAGGGATCTAGAGAAAGTTGAGGAGAACAGAGCTCGAAATGCGCTGATATCTAAATACCATTTTGTTCGATTCCTAGGTAAGTTGCTATTAAAGCTATGTATTTTCATTTTCGGGCAGTTTGCTAACAATAACATCATAGAGCGAAAAACAGCAACTCAAAACCTGAAGAAGTTACGGCGCATGAAAGAGAAAATGGAAAATGAAGAGAAAAACGACGACAACCAAAAGAGCCTCTCAACCAAACCTAAGGCTGATCGATTAGCGGAGCTCGAGAAACGAATATATGCTACCCAAGTGGATATAAATTACGCCAAGTACTGCCCGCTAACGGAGAAGTATATATCGATATTTCCCGCCGATAAGTCTAGGGATAAAGAAGGGAAGAAGAAGAATAGGAAAGGTGATAATGATGGCGAGGAACAAGAAGGAGAAAGTGAAGATGGGGGTGAGGAAAGCGAGGAGAAATCTGCGCTTGGACAGCGATTAGCTCCGATTCGATATGCGTCAAACGAGAGGCCGCCGCTCTGGTATGCTGTGGAGCAAAGCATGAAGGATGGAACGCTGGAATTACTGCGGGAAGGGAGATTGGGAATCACGGCTACTGGGGAGAGGAAGGGTGTACATGGAGGGATTAAGGGGATTGATGATGTGGTATCTGGTCAGAGTAAGACGAAGGGAACCTACTCGACCTTTTCCACCAAGGATGCCCAGGGCGGAGTGTCGTTGCAGAGGAAGAATCAGCATGCGGATGAAGTCGGGGATGGCGATGAAAACGATGAGAGCGATGGTGGCTTTTTCGAGAAATAATTGAATTAAGTATGCTGCTTAATACTCCCTTGTGAATGAAAGATAGACACTTATATAATTTTGGGTACAAAAACACCCGAACGCAGTCTTATATCGCCAATTCCCCCGGTTTCTCTGGTCTGAAAGGACAGTAACTCCCGCCGCCCGATCTAAACAAAATGAGAGGTACATCTTTAACAGAAGAATGAAATGTCAAATTGGTAAAGGAATGTGCAAAACCAGTGGACTTCCTTTGCAACTTGCTGATCGAAATAGAGAAAGAAAGGTAAAAAATATATCCCGTACTCCCTCCCGTAGATGTTGCTGCAGTATAATCGCTCGTAGATAGATAGGTCGCCCGTCCATCATATGAGAAGGAAAAAGAAAAGTTATGATGATAAAACGACCCATTGCTCAAGAAAAACACATAAAGAAAAAAACTCCCTGTAAGATGTCTTCTGTGTATATCCGTATACTCCATAAGCACTGCAATGACGACCCTCTATCACGGAGTGAAAGATCGAAATAAAAAAAAAAAACCTCACATGACGACACAACCGCCGCTTCTGGCCCGTCGTCTTCTTCCGCCTAATGGTGCCAATCCAGCTGGCCCATAACCATACTCTTGGTCTTCATCCAAGTCATATAGAGCTTCCAAATCCCTTGCTCGACGTCTGCTTCTTCTGGTGGTGCCACCAGTCTCTTCGTTGGCCATCATGTAGTCGCCCCATTTTCTCTCCAGACGCATGGCAGAAGCGAGGTTCCCGCGAAGGACTCGCTTGGTATGTTCATCCACAGTCTTTTGCCATCCATAGTAACATTTAAGACTGATGATTTCAGTTGGGTAGAGGTGTGGGCGGGGCGTTGGCTGTGGCGCGGGAGTTGATAATGCTGGTAGGTAGGGTGTTGACGCTCCGGAGTCAGAGTCTGTGGAGGTAGATGTGAGAGAGCTACCACTGGACATGGTAGAAGAGCTGTCGTCGTCGTCGTCTCCCATAATTCCTTCTCCCCTATCTTCCTCCTCTCCATCTTCAGAATAACGAGGAGAAGGTGATGCACGAATTGGTTTTGGTGCACCGGAGGGTGGGTAAGACATCCACGGAACAGAGCAATTGTTGGAAAGCACTTCACGGACCCCAGCCCAGGTTACGTTTCCGCAGTCAAATACCGCCAGGCGGAAACCAATCTTCGAAAGTTCAGGCCCAACGCCACGCTTTCGCATTTGAGAGCAAATTTCCATTAGCGTGAGATCGGAGATGCGGGTATTATCCAAGTCAAGAGATCGAATGTTAGGGCATTTGCGTAGTAAGGGCAAAATCCCTGTGTCTCCGATATTTTCACAGAAGCTAATGTTCAGATGTTCAAGGGTTTGAGAGCACGGGGCTCTGGCCAACTCAGTGGTGACAAAGTTCGTTAGTTCACCGAGCTCTTCCAGTTCGATAAACCTGAGTTTTGGGGTTGTGTTGATGATGGATGCGATACAGTCATCTGTCAGGCTGCTGAGGAATGAAAGATTGAGACCCTCAAGCTCAGGGACGTTGTACGCAAGGCTTTTCACCCCCATTTCACTGAGGAGACGGCAGTTGGAAAGGTTCAGATGTCTGAATTTTCGTGGGGGGACGATTGGGCGGCCGGTGAGGATGTCGATTTCCGGGTTGATGCCGTGGATGAGTGCTTTCAAGCTGGCATCAGTCAAGGAGGCGCAGTCAGCGAGGACAAGTCGTTCCAGCGAGTTTGATTTGAACAAATCCGACATAATTTCCTCGTTATCCCATCCTATGATGCGGGTAACTCGTAGGTCCTTGAGCTGAGTGCAAGACTTGACAACGCTGGAGAGGCCTCCGGTGTCCACCCCATGGCACCATGAGATGTTTAAAGACTCTAGCATCGGACAGTTCTCTGCGATAGCTTCCATAGCGGAGTTGTCGGCGGTAGAGACACCACACATGTTAAGATGCCTCAACCGCGGGTTGCGAGTGAAGAAGCAGTCAATTGTTGCCGGGTCCATCAAACAGTCTTCGATATTCAACTGCACTAAGTTTCGGCACAGGTTCGTCACGCGATCACCTTCTGTGCGCCAGATCTCAAGTAGTTGGGCACATCCACGGAGGCTCAGGTTTCTCAAGAACGGTCCAGCAGCCAGAATCACCTTGAGCAAGGCACTTCGGGGTATCTCCTGATAGTAGGTTGAGGTATCCAGACATGCCCAGAGCTGACCATCGAAGCACATCTTGTTCCAACTCTTCGACACGGCAGAACATTTAAACAAGTCTTTCGGGCCAAGTTGTTTGAGAATGTTGATCCTGACTTCCATGGGGAGTTGAATAAACGTATCCTGCCGTGGGCGTACTGGTACCACACTTTTCTCCGACAGGGCATCCACATAAATCTCTTCTTCTGCCATGGAATTCAACATCATTGCACGAGATGACGGTCGCATATCTGCTGGAAGTGGGATGGAAGTCTGGTTCTGAGCTGTACTATCCGTCCCAACAACCCGGTTGGGCACATGTTGATCGTCTGCACCGGAACAGACAGCCGAAGCGGCAGGAGAGAATCGTCTGGCTGTAAGATCGCCATAGGCGGTCGGATCATCCCAGCAATTGGAGGTTAAAGAGACGCAGGATATGGATGCTCCTGTTCGAAAGCGTCGCGATCCCTCTGAAGCGGACCGACCACGGCCCAGCCTAACCAGGGACGGACTGGATGCTATCCGCTGTATACCCCTGAGAAGCCTCTTTCGGCCTTTGGTCTTTTGCTGAGCATCTTGCTGGGTTTCTTCGACCCCAGGCGTGACAGGCGTGAGGGGAGGAGAGGACTGGCCGGACTGCGCACCGTCCGGCAGCTGTTGTACTTCATCCGGGAGGATTGAAGCCATTATGACGGCTCAATGAGCCAACCGAGTCTGAGAAGCCGGTCTAGTATCCGAGAAGAGAGAAAACAGTTAATAGTCGTCACCAATCGTTGGAGGATTGAGTAGTTAAAATCCTGCTGGTTTGAAGGTATTTGTGGTAGTGGTGAATATTTGATGTTTCAAAGCCTTGTAGTGTCCATATCATGCCAATGCAAAGCAGCCCCGGCTGAGGAGGAATAAGCGAGGGGGATAAGACAACTAAACAGCCCTCCCTTGGAGACGTATCAAAACTACTTGACCTGCTTCGCTATGGTAGAAGAGACAAGGGGAGGACGAGAGGAAGGGGAAAAAAAAGAGAAAATGGAGAAAGAAAAGCAAAGGAGAGAAAAAAAAAGGAGAGAGAGGGTCAAGTATCCATTCCGGCCCGGCTAGGAAGACGAAAGGGTGGCAGTAATAGAGTTAGAGCGTACCACTGAGTGACTGAGAGCAGGTCGAACGAGCCAAAGAGAAGCGCGGAAGGCTCTCAGGAGAAAGTCGATGACGATCAGGAAGGGTCCAGCGGGCTTCGTTTAAAACGGTCTCGAGACCTGGCTGGCTGATGTCTTTGCTGGCGATAAGTCGATGACGGCAGTACCTGTTCGCTGCCAGAGCCGCCACCATGCCCTGCAGACGAGTCACATCGGCATGGCACTCGCAGAGACAGAGGAGGTCAACCGACGACGGGCTGTCAACAGGCCTATTCGAGAGTCATGCGTCTGTAGTGGTGGTGTGGAGAGAGACGAGAAAGAGTCGACGTTGAGGATGAGGTCGCAGAAGTGCAAAAGACGGAGTCGTTAAATTAATCTCACTAACAACAGGCGGAGCTAGTGTCAGGAAGTCGACGCTACCCCAGATAGGCGGGCTTATCGCATATCGATAAGGGCGCGGGGGACCAGAAGCCGAGGTACCTGGTACTTCCTCATCTTTCTGCTTCTTCTGTCTCTGCTGCCTTTTGTTGTCGCCTTTCATGCTGGTGATGGTTGATCCAGCTGGACTATAGTCATGGACTAGGACTATTCTTAGTGACGGTGACAAGTGACAGGCAAGGGCGGCTGACTGCTGCAGTCCGACCTCCTAGTCCCTCAGCTGATGCCTGTCAGAGAGCCGTTCGGAGGTGATTTACGCTGCACCCGCGGAAGCAAGCAAGCAGACAAGGAAGACCACGCGGGTGTTTTTTATTTTTTTGTTTTAGTTCGCTAGTTAGGTGAGTCGGTCAGACATGGCCCATTATTATTGTTACTAAGTTTTCATGCTTCTTTTGTTTTTTTCTCTTACTTTGCTTTGTTTCATCTGGTTGGGTTGTGGTGGAGTTCGAGTTGGGCCTCAGCAGTAGCCGTGAGATATGGGGACTTGGGACAGCGGTAAGAAAGGGGAGATTACGGATGTCTTGACCTAACAGCGACTTATCCGATAGAGACAGAGCACGCACCGCAAACCAGCTGCTTACTACGTTTAGTTTAGTCTCGACATGTCTTGGGTGAAGGAATGAGTGAAGATAAGAGCCTAAAGGGTGAGTGAGTCTTTCCGAAACGTCGGCCGAAGATGAAGGTGGAGGGATAGAAAAGTGGAAAAGGGGGGAGAGGAGAGTCAAGAAATAAGGAAGAGAGAGAGAGAGAGAGATAACAGTTATCGAGTGATATGCAAAGAAATGATATGTGTCCAATCTGCATAAACCAGGCGTCCCTTCTTCCTCCTTGCTTCGCTCCCATACATACAGCATACAACATCATCTCTATCTTTTTCTTTTCGGTAATTTTTAATCCAGTGCCATGCCCGCTCCATGCAAAAAAACAACAAAAAAAGGACGAGTGAAAGAAACACAAGAGAGCAACAAAGAGGCAGGGATAAGGGGGATGAAGCGTGGAATGGAAAATAAAAAAACAACAACAACATTCTAAAAACGTCAAAAGATGGTGGCTGGATATCATAGAAAGACACAGAAACATGGACAAGGGATAATCGTGAGAGCGTAAATGTGGACGGGCTAAAGGACAAAAAATATATGGAAACGTCCGCCGCGATGCAAAGTAAAGGATAAAATAGGGTTGATGATGGATCGAAGTCAGGGGCTAGGCCAAACTGTGGTATGAAAAAGATAGGGGGAAAAAAATAAAGGGTTGGCCTATGGAGGCAGACGTATATAGAAAAAAGCGTGTGGTAGGGAAAGCCGAAATAACGTCCTTTATGGGTTTGTGAGTTTATTCTGAAAAAGGGATCGGAAAGTAGTGTAGGGGTATCGGTAGGTAGGTAAGAAATCGGTTGGTTCATCAGGGTCCTTGACCAGGAAGACTACTTGCTGCCGTTGACATTGGTAGCCAGCTTCATCCAGGGGTGGTTCATTACTTCAGTGATAGATATTCTTGTCTGCACATTCCGATCAAGCATTCGGCGAATCAGATCAAGACAGTCATCAGTGAAAGGTAAAAAGGGGACACGCAGTGGATGGTCCATAATTTCGTTGATGTTGTAGAATGGGTTCTCCTTGTAGATTATCGTGTAGAGGAGGATTCCCAGGGCCCAGACATCTTGTTCCTTGCCGAGGTACGGCTTCCCCTGCAGAACTTCAGGGGCAGCATAGTCTACGTCAAATGTTAGTAGCAGAACATGCCAGAAGCGAGAAAATAGTATTGGGTAGACGCATACCTATAGTACCGACAAACACATCAAATGGGCCGCTGCGAATGTACGCTGCGCTTCCAAAGTCAATCAACTTGATCTTGCCCTCGCCATCGAGAATGACGTTCTCATCCTTGATATCTCGGTGGACAACAGATGCCTTATTATGGAGATGGTCGATGGCACTGGCGACCTGGTGGAAAATATTTCGGCATTCGTCTTGCTCCATATTTGCGCGAAGTTCGACGTAATCGAACAGATCCATGCCCGGAAGACCATGTGGCACCATTTCAATATAGTAGTTGACGTCATCTTCGAAGAAATCTTCCATCTCAACAATGTTGGGATGACGGTTACCTTCACGGCGGAGGAAGTTTAGAACATGAATTTCCAGCGGCACAGTGCCTAGGACTCTATCCCGTGTCCAAGTGTCTACCAAGATTCTGTTCTTGGTGACGTATTTAAGGACAACCTTCTTGGACGGGTCTCGTCTGGACCGTGTCAGTTTTACTTGCCCGTATGCGCCTTCTCCCATGTCTTCCAGGATCACATAGTCAGATATGCTCTTCTTAGTCGGGACTTCGTCATTTGCAGGTATAGCTACTCTGGCGTCTGCTGCCCGTTGCAAAGGCTGGGGAACAAGGGGCTCAGATGCGGCTTCCGTCAACTGTTGCGTCAAGAGAGACGACTGAGACAAGGGTTCTCCGGACGGCGACTCAACCTGAGGTATTCTCCGCGGTGATAAGACCGGAGACACCTGGCCTGGCGATATGGGTGGAATCTCAGATACTTTCCTCGACTTGTTGGGTAAACAGAGCATGTCATCCTCCGTAGGAGAATGGAGCTGCCTAGAATAGGATATCCATAGTGCGAACACATCTTCTGTAGCTCGGGCGGTACCACCGTTGTTCTCGCCTTCGGACGAACTGCCCTGATCGGATCCAGCAGTAGGTTTGCTGTTCTCCGGTAATGCGGATTTGCTTTTGACCACCCGCATCTGCACGTCAACCGTGAGTTTCGAACCATCTTTGTGGCGTGCCGGCAGACCCACAGGTCGCAGGTCTGTCATGGTCAGTTTGGATTGACTATGCCGCATCATGAATAATGATCTGGCCCTTCGGAATCCGTGCTCTGAGATAACCACGCCGTCGACAAGGGGAGTGTCGTCCTGCTCGATTAGAATACTGAGGAATTCGTCAAAATGCGGCAACAAGTCCGTAATCTGAGAGCCTTCTGTATGGAGATCGCCGAACAAGGTAGCGGTGAATGCTGAGTTGGCGCTTATGATCTTAAGCGTTTTGGCGCAGAGCACCATCATGCCAGCGATATGAGGGAAGCAAGATATGCGGAAAGCATGAGATCCGGAGACGGGCGTCAATGTAAGCGGGATATTGCTGTCCTCCCGGTTACCAAAGGCAGTGAAGTGTCTTTGTTCGTTGATCTTGGAGAAGTCTGGCTTTCCGCAGCCGGTGGGAAACCGCTCGGGCACGTTAGGTAGCAGATTGAAAATAGAAGAGCCCCTTTGAATCATCATTCTGTCCCAAATTTGTTCGGTGTCGCCGTTGATGCTGGTAACTCTGCCTCTATCGTCGAAATCTATGGTAGCAGCATGTTCAGTGATCTCCTCGACAACCCAGATCAGCCCTCCTCTCTTCTCCATGACCCAGAGGCTTGCAGAGCCCGTAGTGCCGTTCCTCTTTTGAATAGGGACAACTTCTCCGCAAAGTAGTACCCCACGCGATTTCTTGGATGAATGATTGGGGTTCTTGGGTTGCTTGGTTCCGTTGCTGCCGTTACCGTTGCCGTTGCCGTTGCCACAGTCACTTGTAGCGTTTGAAGAAGGGGAGACATTCAGGGCATTTGCTTTGCGCGTAACTCGGGATGGGGGTTTGCTCAGTAACTGTGCAGTAACGCCGCTTCTCATGCCAAAGAGCTTACCGGGAGCCGCCTTGTGAGGTAATTCCTCATGGCGGTATTCTGATTCCGGCGTCGGAATCTGTGTACCTTGAAGCTTCGACGCCAGCCAGTCTCGTCTTTCCCGCTGAATCAAATCTAGAATGCTTATCTTCCTGAATTCACTCTGGGTAACGCCAAATATAAGACACGCAAGATCGTTGGCTGCAAGTATGGTCCACTTGGGCTTTGTCTCAGTGGTGAACACAGCCTGTGTAGGAAGCGTTGATTTGCCGGGGTGGACGTGCATGGTTGGGGTCATACATCCAAACCCAAAGGACGAGGTACTCCGGTTCGAATGGAACTCAACGGCGGAGTATGGCTCTGTAATGGCGCCCATAGACTTACCGTGCTGCGACAAGGCGCCGATATCGGTAAATGTCCGCTTCAAACTCACACGTCTTGACGAAGGAGCCGACTTCCTGCCCCTCGTGCGAGGCATTGATCGTTCTAACGTCACTGGACTCAGATGTTGCTGCTCCCTGCCAGTAAATCTATCCTGTGGAGACCTAATATCCGCAGGACTCTGTGTTTGATAGGCTCCAAAGGCACGGTCGAAGATATTTCCGCCTCCTTCGGCGACTGGCGGTCCCGTAACCGGTCCCACAGAGTAGTTGTTAGCTGCATCATAGCTTCCAAGCAGGTTTGACCGGGAGAGTATATCCATCATCCACTGTATCTCGTTTTCATCGTTCATCTGTGCTGGACCATCAGTCTGGCCCGAATCGTTTGTAGATAGCCCAATTCGGTCCCTCAGAAATTCTATAGATCGCTTTAGGAGATTCTGTCGATTGTTCAACAAGTCGTCCGACTGTTTCGCGAACGAAAAGGAATGTAGTGACTCTGACGGAAATCGATAGAGGTCTTCGACACCAGGTGAGACTGTGCCGTCCGACGGGTATGTCGATTGTCCGGCAGTTCTGCTCTTATTTTTATCTGTTTGTAGCTGTGATAGCGGCTGTATCGTAGACGATGAGGTCAAGGCAAAAGGGAGAGAAGGAGCTCTGGATGACTGTCGTATGCGAGGCAAGCCAGACGAGCTCAGTCCATGGTCGTGTTCAAGCAGAGGAGATCTACGGCAGGGTGTTCTTCCATCAGCCAACTTGAAACTCCGGTTCCATCAGTGCATGGTAACTAAGCAGTTCCACTAGCCTGTAGTTATTATATCCATGGAAGAAAGACTGACCTTGATAAATAGTCGTAATCAACGGATGAAGTGTCTATGGAGAGAGGTCCGGGGCCCTCGCTCACCTCACTCTCGTGGTTCAACGTACTGGTATCGTGAGGCGACTGAATGTGGCAGGAGTCACAACGCCCATCGCCGTTATAAGTGCTCGCTCTCTCGCCTAGCTCATACGGAGCAGGTCAGTTATAAATACGATTAAAAATAAATATGATAAAAGGAAGAAAAAGGAAAGAAAGAAAGAAAGAAACGACAGCGAGATGCAGAAAAGTTGCTTGATGCTGCTGCTGCGAGGGTGCCACAAGACCGGTCTCCCTTGCAACCAAATATTTCGCCCTGCGCCGAACGGACAGAAGTGACTGAAGTGACTGACTGACCATTATGATAGCCCATCCCCCGAGTCTCTGACATGACCACAAGAAAGGAAATCAGGAAGAGCTCCCAGGCGAGCGTCCTTGTCGGCGTCTCTTTTCAGTGGCTACGGATGGTAGGTAGGCAGACCGTCCTTCTCCAAATGAAACAACCAGCGCTGTCCCTCGCGTTCCTAGAGTCGCATCGCAGAGCAAGGGTCGGCGGTCACGAAAGACGGGCTTAAATGGATAGATAAGAAACGAAAAAGAAAAAACCCACTGTGGGAGCTGAGGATGAAGTAGTCGACTCGATGCTTCCTTAGTTCGTTACGTCACTGACGGGCCCCTGGTAAGGATGATTATATATATATAAAAGGTCGATGGGATGGCGGAGTTCCGTTGGTAGCGAAAAGGGGGGCCGCTGTTTGGTCAGGTCCACGCAAACAGTCGCAGTAGATGCAGGGGCAGCAGTCGTCTTTCTGTCTTCTTCCTGTCCTGCGGGATGCGAGATGGCGAGATGGACGCAGCCGGGCGTATCTTTAAGGCCTGCTTCGGGCGAGCAAGGCCGGTCAGGGAGCGGTGACTCTGGCGACTAGTTAACTTAGGCAGCGGGCGGCCGGCAGAGAGAAATGGCAACGACAGACACGACAAACTCAACGGCAAACGACACAGTTTGATATCTTTCCTTTTAGGTATCTTCAAGCCTCTACTCGGGGTTCACGAACAGTTATATCTATTTTATTATTGCCTGCCTCGAAAAATAAAAGAAAATTATTATCTCCGCCGAGCCAACCAGCACGAGCTAACTAAATATTTAGCTGTGTTTATTTTTACCACTTCACTCCACTGAAATATCAGCCATCAAAGCCTCAGCTTTGGCTGTTTTATTTATTGTCACTGGCTAACTAGTGAGTTAGCTTACTACCCAGGGAGCTAATACCGTGCAGATGGGCTGAGGCTTTGACGGAGCACGGCTGCTTCAGTGCATGCTCGTCCTTTCTTTACCGCGAGAGAGAGAGAGAGAGAGAGACGTCAACAAGACCCTAGAATCCAAGATACAAGAGAAGGAGAAAAAGAAACCGGATCCTCCCTCGGGAGGTCAAAGTCCGGGATGGGATGAGATGCATGTGCACATCTCTTCATCTTCGAGGGCAAAAAAGAAAGAAAGAAGAAGAAAGGCCAGTCGGATACGTCAAGTTGCCTCCCCCGGATGCTACATGCTAGTTACATGGGATCCTCATCCTCTCCGCAATTTACGGGCAGTTACACACGAACGTCGATGGCCGGTAAACTGTTTTCTACTTCATTTATTTATTCACAGGCCTCCAGCTTCAAGCATTCGATAAAGCCAGACTGTGTAGCTAGTCCGTTATCGGGTTTCGCGAAAGTGGCTGGCTGGTTAGCGAGCTGTGCCTGGCTCGCAGGGCTAACACGCGAGATACGCGATACGCCTGTTGGTTGCGGCTTGGGAAGTCTACGGGGAAGTTCCTTCGGATAAGGCTGCATAGAGCTCACACGTTTCGCTAGGAGGAAGGAAGGCTGTTAGCTAGCCTGGCTGGCTGGCTGGCTAGTTCTTTGCCTATCAAATGATTCATTCACTTGGCTCTGTCACACGAGTTTGCCGAAGAAGCGTGGAAAGATCACGAGTAGAAGCGTTAGTTAAATAACTACCATTTCTATTCTTCGATCCTTATGCTACTATCATCATCATCATCATCATCACCACCACCACCGTCACTTCACTGATCCGGAGACTGTGGCCGGCGCTGCTGCTGCATCGACTGCGGCGCATGTTGTAAATCAGAGAGTAGCAAACCCCCAAAAGCTGTCCGGCCGTCGCTTTCGCCTTCTGGGTTATCAAAGAGCGATTTCAGGGGCACTCGTCTCTGCTCGGGAGGTGCGGATGCACTCGTTGCGAAGCTTGGCCGGGCTTGATCGTCGCCCAGGATCCAGGAGAACGATGAGTCCCGTACCGAGGTTCGTGTTGGTCGGCTCGGATGCACCTTCGTCGATGCGGTCGTATTAATCGTATTTCTGGCATTGGACGAGAGAGTGTTCTGATCATTATTATTATTGGCAGCGCTGATGCTGCTTGGCGGTGACTGCGGCGACTGCGGCTCCTCCATGCTAGCAGCAATAGCAGCCTTTAATTCGTCCTCCTTGCTCAACTTCGCTGGCTCAAGGGCACGGTCCACGGTAGCCTGGACTCTTCCTCTGGTCGGAGAATCCTCGCTGCTCCGAGTGTTGGATGGACGGTGTACTTCTCTTCCAGTTCCTGCAGGGCTTAGAGAAATCGCTGCATCCTCGAGACAAGCCTTAACTTTTCGAATGGTAGCAACAGCATCGTCCATCGCCAATCGGCTGTCTTCGCCCTCTATGCCTTTCTCCTCAGTGGCTGCTGGTGATGGCTGCTGGGCCTGCAAAGTATTCAACGCATCTTCCAACATCGTCGCCAGATCTTTATTCCGCTGTTCCATCATAGACATTTTCATCTTCAACTCTCTTACCGTAGCGAGCGATAGTCGGGGTGGACTGGGGGAGTCCCACGCAGGGCCATCATGGCTAAATAGCGAGGTATTGGTTGCGCCTGCTTGGAGGCCTTGCATGTTACGGCGAGCTTCAGTAACTGCACCACGTACAGCCTTTGTGACCCCCCAACCTTCTGCTCGACGATAGAGACCTTCTGAAACATCCTGAAATATTGAGTCAAGGCGTTTTGAGGTTAGTCTGTTCGGCGAGCTGCTCGGGCTATTGAAAATATCACGAGTGATAGAACGGCTCTTCTGTCTGGTTGGGAGAGACATTCCGGCTCCAGGGGGAGGGGACGCGCTGTTCTGGACCTTCTGGGGGATATGTTTGTCAGAGTACTTATGGACAAGGTAGGAGGCACCTTCACATGTTGTATTGTGTTCTAGATAGAGGCCGTCAAGAACAAAGGCACGGGGTTTGATAGGCTCCGGAGAAGGGTATCTTAACAAGAGGGATAAGGCAGTCGAGTAATCTGCATCCATCACTACTCGGACGTGTTAGTATTCGTTGAAGTAGCAAAGCAGTTATAACTATACTCACACTGCCACCGAATTCGTAGTATCATTGAAACACAGATCATGTCAACAAGTGGTGCTCTCACGTTCTCGGCAATAATCAAGTCCCAGAGAGCAAGCACGTCGTCAAATGGGAACTCCCGGCCAAACAAGAGCCTTATCCAACGCCTACGCCTAATCAGCTATAACCCCAATCATTTCAAAAATGGAGAAATGGACTCACGTTAGAAATATCTGTGGCAAGACTTCAATGGCAACAAGGTGGTCAGCCAGCTCGGGGTCTATCTTTCGCAATATACCCAGATGAATATGCTGGCTTCGCGCAATTATAGACGAAACCTCCAAATTCCCTCCTCCACCACTTTTGCTGTCGTTATGTTCATAGAACTCCTTGGCAGTCTGCATAATAGCGCAGAAGAGAATAAAGGAGTCATGTTCAATATACGTTGGATCCAGAGATTGTAGCATTAACGCTTGCTCCCCACCAGGAGCAGGGGCTTCGTCCTGGCTCACTGTTTGCAAATCGATAGCATCTTGCGTTACTACCAATAATATGGGAGCGAGCAGTTCATGCATTCCTTGCCTATAACCCAGGTCTGGATTCAGCTTGACGAAGACGAACAGTATGTTAAGAAGCCGGAGCTTTACTATCGGATCGTGAAAGAAGCTGTTGTCCTGGAGACACCTTTCGACATCCTGGGATATTTCGGCTCTAATCTGCTCGTCTCGTCGAAGTGATTCCCATGGAGACTTTTGGCAGCTGTCAGTATCATGTTTATATAGCTATTCTCTTGGGCCGTGATGTACATACTTCAGCGTCCTCTGCCAGCGGATCAACCGTAGAGGATAGTTCATTAGGGTTATCAATGTATTTGAGAAAATGCTGTTTGACCGAGGCATACGCCTCTCTAGAGTCTGATAGCTGTATCGACCATTGAGTCTGATCTATCTCCTTGTGCAGTAGGAATGCCTAGCACGGTGTAAGTAAGGAGTGGCAAGCAAGCTGAGGTGGAGGGAGGGGAGAAGACACACCTTCCAGCACACCGACCGCAGTCCGTCCTCACATGGATTAGATCCCTTGGCCCCGGCCTCTAAAACCTGTTTCAATTCATGGAGAGAGTGTATCTCTGGCTGGTGGAAGGTGGTATTCCATAGAGCCCTGGCGAGGAGACGGTTAGAAAGTGCGGTAGCTAGGATGTGCAGGGTTGTACAGATCTAACCGAGATTCCTCCACAGATCTCATTGTATTTAACAGGAGCCCGTGGGGCTCTGGCACGATCTATATCAGATAGATTTTGGTTATCCTTTCGGGCCAGGCTGGTTGGCGATGCTGGTGTTGTAGTCTGAGGTCAAGCAGCCCAGAGGTTTAAAGGGACAGGAGAGAGTCACCAGGCCTAAACTCTCAGCACAGCTAGCTAGCAGGGTATAGTAGATCTATCAAGAGAAGCCTCTGTCCCCATCCTCGACTCTGTTCTCGGTGAACCGCACGCTGGTCTGTCCCAAGGCTCGACGGGCATCGAGTTGGGCGTTAACCTGCAAACACTAGTTAAGGGGAGGTGTGATTGGCAGTGTTAAGATTAGTTTAACTAGCTAGCTGGCGCATGTATTTTTAGTTAAAGCTTTTAACTAGTTGAATAACACAGCTCTTGGCTCACTGTTTTCCCGTTTCGTGCTCCGAAGCAGAATAACAACAAACAACACCACCATCATCAAACATCACCACGCAGGATAAGATATCCAGAGACGCAGTGACGGCGTTTGGGATGTAGGGGAGGCAGCCCCGAGGAAAAGGATCCTGGGCCTCGGACTCTGGCTGGCAGTGGAATATAGAGAGAGGAGCGAGTGGCCACCACCAAACGATGTCAGCGGATCTCTTTGCGGCGTTCGGACAGCCTGATTCCGCATCACAACCCACCACCGCCTCAAATAATGCCAACTTGTCGAGAACTGGACCGGTCAAGGGGAACAAGGGGAAGCCTGGTGCATTGCTGGACACGGATGTCGACTTGAGAGATGCTACTGCGCCACAGGCCTCGATATTTGAATCCTGGCAGCCACCTGCACTGGAGCGGGCAAGCAGTGACGCCGAAGTATTATTCGATGCCACGACGGAGCCACCTCCAGATAGTAACGGACAGGACGATGAAGACGGAGACGAAGATGATGAATGGGGGGAGTTTGAGAGTGCAGAGCAGCTACCAGTAGCTCAACAGGAAGGAGCCTCTCTTTGTCTACAACATCAGGTCATCGATATCGATAACTCCTTCGAGAGCTCTGCCACACCTCAAAAACCATCGTCCCAGCAGGCTGCTAAATCTCAGCCTCAACCGCACAATGTCATCGATCTGCTATCTATCGATGATGATCTTGCAAAAACTACAACAAGTTGTTCTACGGGTGATCGGCCGGTCCGACATCAAACAGGTCAGATCTCAGGCGAGGAGAGGCTAGTTGCTGCCCCTCCCAAGAACAGCAAAGGCAAAGGAATTGAAGTTGAAGAAGCAGAAGAGGACGATGATTGGGGCGAATTTATCGATGGAGCCGAAGATGCTGCCACCAAGACTCAACAGCAACCAATCCCTACCTCGTCGTCAGGGCGCTCCAAGGCAAAAGCAGTCTCTCCCGAGCCTGGCTTGAGCATGGAGAAAACGAGGACTCGCAAGGCAGAGACCACCGCCTCGTCGGTCCGGCCTACAAACATCCCACCGCCCTCGATCCTCCTGCCGCTCTTCCCGCCTTTATTGGAAGAGTCAAGACGAAAAGCGGCAGGTTATGCAAGGCGGAAGGGAGACGGCAGCACCACCAGCAGCCTGCAGCCTGATGAAGAGTTTGCCAACCAGTTGGTGTCTGATATCAGAACCATGGCCCACGTCGTGTCCGGGCGTCATCTACGGTGGAAACGAGACCAGATACTCAGCCAAAGCACTAAAATAGGGCCCGCCAGGTCCGGACGATCCGGGGGCATGAAATTGAGCAGTGTCAACAAATCAGAAAATGTAAAAGAAGAGCAGGAAGTAATGGAGGTGGTCGAGGCGTGGAAGAGGTGCGGTAGCCTGCTCAACTCGGTGGTTACATCGATCGGGAGGAACCCGATGCCAGCCCTGTCACTAAGCATGCAAGTACGGACTGCCGCTATTGACGAGGGTGCGCTGAAATCTGCTCACGCCTGCGCCCTCTGTGGGCTGAAGAGGGAAGAGAGAGTCCCCCGAGTTGACGACCAGGTGAGCGACAGCTTTGGAGAGTGGTGGCTAGACCACTGGGGACACGCGGACTGCGAGGCCTTCTGGAAATCCAATGCAGCCAATCTCGATCACCGATGAGCTCTTTTGTCTCCTGCTCGTCGAAGTCACTATCTTAACGAATGGACTGCTATTATTACTTTTATCTCCTGACATGGTTCGGCGGAGGAAGAAATAATAATAACAATAATAATAAGAATGCTAATAAGAAAAAGAATAAGATGATGCGACAACAACCACTTTTCGGCTTGCCACCGCGCCATGCAAATCCCTGCATCAAACTGAAGCAGGCCAAGGCCGCCTGGGGTTGAACGCATCCTCCCTGTTCAGGAGAATGTAGCAACCTGCAAGGGTGTCCATGAACGAAAGAAACGTCTTTTTTTCTCTCTGTTGTCGCTGCTGCGTCTCGGGAGATCGAAGAGACAGAAAGAGCCGTCGGCTCCTCCAAGCCGGCATGACCTGTCCTCCACATGCTAGATATAGACCAGCAGAACCGGGTTCCAAGAGAGAGAGAGCCTCCAGCACCGATTCGTGGGCCGGTTCCTCAGAAAGTTCGTCCCGGTTTGCTGCTATACATGCCTTCCGATGTATTATCCATTTACTATTAACACTTATAACCACTACGGCATGATCCAAGCGGGGTTTCGGGCCGTCACGGCTTTTCTAGGCCACTAAGAGACCTTGGGGGATGTTTCAAAATGGCTCATCGGCATGAGTGGCTCATGTTAGTTATGTATGATGGTACGATCATGATGCTGGATCTTCGGTAGCGACCAAGCAGTGGTCTCCGCATGTATTGTTGTCGTCGTCGTTGTTATTGTGACATGTAGAGCAGGCAAGGCGAACTGGGATGGGGTGAAACTGGCGTCGAGAAGTTGTCCCGGAGGATCTCTTGCTTCACGGGAGGAAACCAGGCGGTGCTCGTTTCTGCTTCGTTTCAATCCTGCCATGAGATACGAAATATAAAACAGCGACTGACTTCAGACTTCAGGATCTGCTGGCTGGCGTGAACTCCTGCTCCTGGTTAGTTAGTTATCGATAAGGGGCCAAGGTAACCGGCTTGGCTTCGGGCAGCAGAAGGGACGATGAGAGACGAGGAACCAACAGTTCATGCCGGCCGGGGACATGGATGGCGGGCAATACGAAGTCGAGCTGTGTCTCTCTGTCTATTGTCTCGCCGTCTTGCCGTCTTGCCAGTCGGCTGCTCGTATGCTCTGTCCACCGTAATGTAATACTGCTAGGTACGAGTAACTAGGCATAAGGATGTATGTAGGAGACTAGCTGGCTGAACTATTATATGTGGAATCTTAGCTATGTCGTCATTGCAGGACGCCCGAAGAAACCGCCCTCTTCAACGCCTGCGAATGAATACGAACCTCCGAAGGGGCGGACAGGACGAGACACAGCGTGAGTCGAGCGTGAGAGTGAGCGGCGAGCGATGACAGGCTCAGCTTCGACTGTCCAAAGCATCAGGTGCAGCTTTTCAGGTCACCGTTTGTTGTAAGGCACCATCCAAAAGGCGTGACCCGAGCAGTTTCACCGAGCTTCTCTGCCTCTTCCTCTTCCTCCCTTTGCCCCGTTCGTCCTTCTTCTCTCCAGCTTCACTTCCACTCTTCACCTTCTCTCTGCTCTCTTCTTCCTCTTTTCTTTTTTGTTCATAGTCCGGACATATTCACCGTCAATAATACATCTGTCGCTCCTCAGGGCATCTTCCTTCTCCGGCTTCAACCTCGTCAAACCTTCTCCTTTAAGCCGTCCTGTCCTGTCTCTCTGCTAACCCCCCCAGCTTTCCGCCGGACACAAACCCTATAAACAGCCAGATAACGCTTCCAGATTTAATATATCGTCTTCAGCCCCTGGCTACGATCATAAACCGAAGCACCTCTAGCTCCACGAACGTCTCTGCCTGCCCCCCTGTCCCTCCCTGAGAGAGTCTAGCCCGGCATATCTCCCTCGCCAGCTCTCCTCCCCGTCGTACCCGTCTCCACCTCTCGGCCCCTTGGGCGATATTGCAAATTCCACGATTCCCCGGAGCCGTTCATAAAAAGGGGGTCCATCTGCTCACTTCTCGCCCTAGGAAGAGAACTAGAGAGGAAGAGAGGTTGTTTGATAACAAGTTGTCTGGTTACAACGGGCGTGAACCTCCCAGTAAACCTTAACTGAAGCGAGAGTGCAAGCCAAACTACCCAACGACTATCGTCACATTCCAAGTCACTCCAGGGGAGGAAGAGAAGGGTTAGCAAGAAAGCAAGAAAGCAAGAGAGAGAGAGAGATAACGGCTGTGCTGCTCATTTCCGCTGCAAGCCTGTCCTGGGACCTTCTTGTGCCGACATTCCAGCCTGGACTCTCAGCCAAACTACGATACAAACATTACTTAACTACGAAGTTTGACTTTCTTTGGGTTTGGCTTCTTAAATACCGACCTGCGCCTCCCCCCCCAGACATCTACCCAGGGAGCAAACACACAGCCGTTCCAATCGCCTTTTTTCCTCTTAACCTGGAGACATCGCTGCACGTCTTGAGATATACCATTTACTTCTCGCCAAAACAAAGGAGCCAAGCAATATAAATCGTCACCATGGGACTCTCTTATAACATCTACATCAACTCGAATAAGATATTCGGCTGCAAGCATTGCAAAACTCATCTTGCGGACTATCATGACATCATCAGTCGGGTAGGTTATTCTTCACTCGCCCACTCTTCAAGACACTCCATCCACACACTTATATATATCCAACTGCACTACTAACGAGAGGATTTAGAACTTCCGCGGCCAGCATGGCAAGGCCTACCTGTTTGAAAATGTTGTCAACATCAACGCCTCGGAGTCTGAGGAACGCAACATGACAACAGGCAAACATGTTGTCCGTGACATCCACTGCACCCAGTGCAACGAAACCGTAGGTTGGAAGTACGACAAGGCCTACGAAACATCAGAAAAGTACAAGGAGGGCAAGTTCATTCTGGAAGCTGAGCTGCTCTCCGTCGTCTACTGAACATTCTATTTCCCTCCTCTGGGTGGTGGTCCTTGTCCTAACTTTTCTACGCACCTTTTTTTCTGTACCGTCCACACAGCACCTTGTTTTATTACTTCCGATAGCTATTCTTCTCTCTGACTGCCTTTCAATTGTCACACGAAGATAGTTACTCGGTGAGACACAAACTCACGATGCTGCTGGAACGGTCATTTATTATACAAAACATGCTTTACAACCGGATCTCAGGATTTTAAAGATTCCTCCTTACACAGCTGCGACGAAAGGCGTTTTCAAACGGGGTATTAACTGGGGGGCTAAGGTGTGTGGTGTGTGGTGTTTCTGCTTTACTTTCTCTCCTCTTTTTCCTTTCCTTTCCTTCCTTTTATGCAACTTCTCTGGGTGGTGAAATGGGGGTTTAGGCGCCGAATCATTTACTCTTAACAAAAAGGAGAACTGGAGATTTCTTCTTTTTCATCTGTCACCATCGGGATTCCGGCGTCTTATCAGTTCCTCCTTTCTCTTTCTTTTCCTTCCTTTGGCACTGGATTGTCGATACTGCGTTCTTTCTCCCCTCCTCCGCCTTCATTAGTTACCGGAGTCAGCTAACTACTCTTCCTAATCTGCCCTTGTTAATTCCAACCCAATACTTTATTGTTTTCCGCTCAATCGGCTGCCAAAGTAATATTATCGCCTACTTAATACAAGAAACTGTTTAGCTTTTCATAGCTAGCTATATCTATGGAGCAGGTCCACAAATATCACCTTCGCAGGATATATTCCGTAGCTAGCTAACTGATCTATTCCAAGAATGTAGGTAGGAAAGTACCTAAGGGCAGGAATATACCATCCTTCTAAGAAATATCATCTCACGCCTGTTATTTTGATTAGATATGTAGTAGACATGCCCGTAAATGCTGTTTCATCGTCAAATCCACCGTCCATCATCGGCCAACATCGCGATCTTTCTCTCAGGCTGAGGAGAGACGTCTCGGCTCCTCAGCTACTAAACTCCCCACCTTTAATTACCTGCGGGACCAAAAGGTGGGCCAGAACTCCGTATATACAGCTCATCGCCCAAGACTACACTTATGGACTATCATCGAGAAATAACTATCAGGTAACTTGATTTTTGTAATTGCTTTCGTGAGTTTGAACAAATGGCAACGAAAAATACTATGAACGCCGTCGTCTTTAAAGGCCCGCGGCAGATCGTCGTTGAAAAGAGGCCTGTACCAAAGATACAGGACCCTCAAGATATTATTGTCAAAGTAACATACACTGCGCTATGCGGAAGGTGTGTATTACCATTCAGCCTATCTCTAATATCTAAGATGCTAAATAGTAAAATCCGATAGCGAGCTTCATGTATTCCGCGGCCACCAGCCGTCGGGAGTGGACTTCATCATGGGCCACGAGTTTACTGGCACTGTAGTCGAGACAGGCAGCGATGTTAAGACCGTAAAAGTCGGAGATAAAGTTGTCAGCCCTTTTACTGCTTCATGGTAAGGTCCATTTATCTTCTACTCGCAAAAGAACTAGCTAACATAACTACTATATATAGCGGGGATTGCTTCTACTGTAAAGCCGGCTTCTCGTCACGATGCGTAAAAAGCCTGCTCCTGGGTTGTCCAGCCCTAGACGGTGGTCAAGCTGAATATGTTCGCCAATAACATACATGATACCTTGAATTGCAGTTTTGCTAACATCATCTAGGTCCGCATGCCTCTGGCTGATGGCTCGGTGATGAAAGCTCCAGCAGGCATCAGCGAGCACTGCCTAGTTCTTATGGCAGATATCTTCCCAACTGGTTTCTTTGCAGCCCAAAACGGCTTCAAGCATTTCAAAAAGGCGCAGATCTCAGAATTGACAGTAGTCGTAATTGGGTGCGGCCCGGTGGGACTTTGTGCTCTTATCAACGCTGAGGAGTATAAGCCTAAGAACTTGCTCGCTGTCGATTCGGTACCTTCACGTCTTGAACTGGCCAAGTCCCTTGGAGCAGAGCCATGGAACTTCCAAACTGATCAAGAGGGTCTTGAAAAACGTGTCAAGGAGCTGACTGATGGGCGCGGAGCTGATATTGTGATTGAAGTTGTTGGCTTAAGTCCGGCTCTTAAGATGGCCTTTGATCTTCTGCGGCCATGGGGAGTAATTAGCAGCGTTGGCGTCCATAATGCTGAGGTGAGTCCAATCTTCAATTGGCAATGGTGCTATGGGCCCCTGTTAATAAAATCGGATACGTCTAGATCCCCTGGAATGGGAACCAGGCCTATGGGAAGAATCTTAGCATCCAGATGGGCCGATGCCCTGTGAGGTCGATATTTCCTGAAGCTCTTGCTATGCTTGAGAAGAAACAACACCTGCTTGGGTAAGAATGGCCTTATAATGCGTTGTTTAACGGAGGGTGCATCTGGCTGACTAGATATTGATATAGCTTCATGGCGGATAAGATTATGCCTCTCACTCAAGCAGTCGAGGGATATGATATTTTTGACAAGATGAAGGTCCAGAAGGTCATTTTCAAGGCCGATGAATGATACAGCCCATCCTCGCTTGTTCAACTATTACTGGAACTTCGTAAGTAGAAAAAGTATCCTTAGGAATAAGAGCGATTGAAAGAAAAATAAAATAAGCAGGTCCCATTCATTCTGGTGGCACAAAGACTTATGTAAGCAGACTAAGAAAAATAAAACTTTGGAGCTAGTACAGAAGAGGGTTGGTTAAAGATGACTAATAGTCCAGCTCTCCGTCCATATCACAAAGAGAAAGAAAGCGCGAACAAGTCAACAAGCAATTCCCTTACGCTCTCGGAAAGACGGCCAGGACGATTTGCTCGGTTAATAAGTGGCTGGGCTCTTATTCGCCATGCCTATCATCAGCAAACATGAGAACTTGTTTCCAGGATACGAGACATGAATGCTGCCAGAGAGTATATCCAGTCTTAGGAAGAAGAGAGAGAGCCCAGCATTCCGGTCCTCTCATGGCATCCCACATACTCAAAGAACTGCTGCTCCGGCTTCAGGACAAGGACTTCATGGAATAAACGCAGGGAAATGTTGTTGTTCAGCCTCTTCACGTACTTCATGAATGTCCCGAATATGCTGAGATGAGTAGGGTGTTGTCTACTCCATTTCTCTAGTGAGCCGAGACTATCGAAGTAGGCCAGTCCAAAGGTGCGGTTCTTGCTGGCCTCGAAAGTGTCGTTGTCCACGACGTCCATGAGTCGGCAGCTATAGCATCCGATATCTTTGCCATTATCGCGGAGGAAAGTCATACCCTGGACCAAGGGAGGTTGCATTGTGTCGACGTACAGCTTGTGCTCTTCGGGGCGGGTGTTGGACCAGTCCTGACCTGATCTAATAACCACCAAGTTTTGTCGTCCAGGCACCCGAACACGTCGACGAGCTGTACTGCCAGTCTGCTGGATAGCTGAGTCGGCGCTATCTCCAGGAACAGCATCTGTTTGACAGATGGGCATCCGGTCTCTCATGCTTCCCCAATATACGTGCTCCAGAATTGGTCCACTCACTTTTTCTCGCATGTTGGCTGTCCCTTCAAGGACCACTTCATCGGAGGCTATGGTCTCAAATCGATCGGTGGTGGGTGAGAAGACTTCTAGAAACCAGCCGTGCTGCTGGCCTTCAGCCTCTAGTCCTTTCCACCAGGTTTTGAAGTTGCTAACGGTGTTCCATCTCTCATATGTCTCCTTGCTGGGCCAGTATGCAATTACAGCTATATTGTACGAGTCGTTTACGTCAGTTACGGATGCTAGCTCCCAGAATGATGGCTGTACCGCTGTATCAGTCGAGTTTTTCATGAATTCCAGTATCTTGGAGATGGCTGCACCATCATTGTCTGCTGCTGATGCATACTGTGCGCCTATGACGGCCATCACGATGTCCTTAACATTCTCCGGGAATCGTGATGTGTACGCCAAGGTAGGTGGCTCATAGTGATGTGGCGTCTTTGCTGGCTGCGTCCGCTCCTGGGTAAGGTGTATAGGGATAGCTGATTCGAGCATCCTCGATGAGATATCAGGAGATTGGGATGGGTGAAGCTATTAAGTGAAGAGTTCCTACCTTCTTAGGTCGATAGTCGACAAGGCTGGTCGCTGAATGAGGGGAAGGATATAAGGCTATATAAGGCTTTTTTTTTCGCTTTTTCCCCTGCTGGGATTGGCACCTGCGATCAGTCTCTTCTGCATGGTGGTACGGGGTAAAAGTCATGGCTAATTACACACCACCCTATTATTATTCTTCGGCTGATATTACCGCCTACGTAGCTATAAACTCGTTGTTCTCATGGCTAAAGCAAAAGAGGTAATTTCATTCGTTTAATACATCACCTTTATCGTGTGATAAGAATTATCAGTATAAGAAAGTGTCTCCTGCGCCAATCAGCGCAGGCTCTCCTTTTTGGCTCGGCCGTTTGACAGAAAAGACAGTCAATCACAATACTCCTCCCTATATGTTTGATATAAGAATAGCTATAGGCTACCATGCTCCAGTCTATGTATTTTGTATAAGGATAACCATGGTTTGCTATACTCCCACATATAGCCGTTCACCTCGTCGGACCTCTTTCGGCGTTCTTCCTCTTCCTTTCTCTTCCAGCTTTGTATCTTCGTTCATCGGTGCCAATTGAATTGAATAACCGTTACAATCGTAAGATTAGCAGAGGACTTGAACCTACAACCCTGCTGTCTCGGATAGTCGGCCCCCAACCAGCAGATTCTAACTGGCAACGCTTTCTCGATGCAGCCGTATCACCCCTCACTCGACCACACACAGCCCCCAGCCTAACAGGGGTCCTTTATAGGAACTACCTAGGTACCTACGAGATAGGTACTCATGAGCTACGGTGATAATAAACCTAACCTGCTGGGATTCACGTTTAATTTAGTAAACCAACAGCACCGTTGCTATTTTTGTATATTCCACCATAGCCTCTCGTGTCGCGCATGAAGAATGAACAAGGTCTGTAGATTAAATTAAGCTTCGCGGGGTCTATTGTTGGTGTTAATTGTTATTAGTGTTAAGTGTTGGTATCGATTGTTGATATTGTTTGTTGATGTTAATTATTAGCGTTAATTGTTGATTGACATCAATTGTTGGTCGTTGGTATCGATTGTTAGTGTTAATTGTGGTTGTCAATTAACCAATTGTTGGATTATCAGCCTGCGAGCATAGCCCCGAGTAGTTATTGACAAACAACTGTTCTAGATAGTAACCCGTTTCCTAGGATAACTAAAGGCTGGGGTAAACATCCAAGACGGCTGCCGCATAACATACATATCCTTACTTTACCATATCCCCAAGTTGTGACTATCGCAACGTATTCTGCGATATCCTGCGCCTCGATGTCATAGTTGGCACGATGCGTTGGGTTGGGTTAATGACGGGAAGGAAAGTTCTAAAGAACTCACGAGAGATTTTCCACCGTTGATAGACCTGATCGCCCTATATAAAGGTGATGATATATCCCTTTTACTCAAACAAACACACACCCATCTCATCCTCTATTCATCCAGTCCTCGTT